TAAAACACTTGGTACTACAATCAAATAAATCTCCATAAATTTTCCATTCAACTGTTCAACCAACTCCTACTCCATCTTTAAATTTACTTTTATACGTTTAAAAGAGAGGTAGAGAGAGACAGAGAGAGAGATGTGTAGAGGAACAGATACATACATCCCATACACTGCTTCACTCTCCTCATAGCCTTGTCCTTAACAGCCAGGGCTGGGCCACGCTGAAGCCAAGAGTTGTACTTAATCCAGCTCTCCCTTGACAGTTGCATGAATTCAACTACTTGAGCCATTACTTGTGGGACTTGAATTAGAACTCAGAACTTGAACTTAGGGAGATTTTTTTTAAAAAGTCATATTTGTTCCTGTCCATTTTTAAATCCCGTTGTGAAATATATTTGTTTTGGGGCTAGCATAGTGGGTTAAGCTGCCATATGTGATGCCAGCATCTCATATGTGCACCAGTTCAAGTCCAGGCTGCTCCATTTGCATCCCAGCTCTCTGCTACTAGCCTGGGAGAGCAATAGAAATGGCCCAAGCACTTAGGCCCCTACTCTCTAGTGGGAGACTGGGATAAAGCTCCTGGTTGCTGGCTTAGGCCTGGCCAGCTGTGCAACATTTGGGGAGTGAGCTAGCAGACGGAAGATGTCTCTTTCTCTGCATCTCTTTCAAATAAATAAATAAATAATTTAAAATATAGTTTGTTATGAAGCATTTAAGAATGAGTTTTTAAAAGATTTATTTTATTTTTATTGGAAAGTTAGATATACAGAGAGGAGGAGAGAAAGAGAGGAAGATCTTCTGTCCGATGATTCGCTCCCCAGGCAGCCACAATGGTCGGAGCTGAGCCAATCTGAAGCCAGGAGCCCAAAGCTTCTTCTGGGTCTCCCACACAAGTGGAAGATTCCAAGGCTTTGGGCTATCCTCAACTGCTTTCTCAGGCCACAAGCAGGGAGCTGGTTGGGAAGCGGGGCTGCTGGGATTAGAACTGATGCCCATATGGGATCCTCATGCATGCGAGGCAAGGACTTTAGCCTGTAGGCTTAAGAATGAATTTTAATCTAAGAGAGTAAAAGAACATCTTATAAACAGTCTAGCTGATTTACTAGATATTTTACTTAATTCATTATTTTAAGTATGAATTTTAAAGGCAGGCCGGCAGGCAGACAGGGTTTCTGTTTGTTTGTTCACTCCCCAAAGGTCCATAGCTGCCAGGGCTGGGCTTTTCTAGGATGAAGCTGGGAGCTTGGGACTCAGTCTGGATCTCCCATGTGAATGGCAGAGCCTTTTTCCTGAGCTGGCACTGCTGCCACCACAGTCAGCCCTGGCAGGAAGCTGGAGTGGGGAGCTATAGCTGGCATCCAGCCCTGGTTCTTGGAGAAGTGGGCATCTTAACTGCTACGTCTTAACTGACAGTAACTGCTACATCTTGCTGGATGTCTCAGGAGGACCAAATGTCAGCTATCTTTCTATTGCTCTAAAGCTATTTTAGGTTATAACTCATGGATTAATTAATATAATCTGAATAGGAGAATTTATAAAAGTACTTTTGTGTGCCAAACAATCTTGGGTGGGCATTTGGTGCAGTGGTGTAGACTTCACTGGAGCGGCCCACATGTAGCAGAATGCTTGAGGTCTCCCAGTTCCAGATTTGGTTCTAGCTTCCTGCTAGTGGGTGCCGTGTGAGGCAGCAGGTGATGGCTCAGTGCTTGGATCCCTGTCACCCACATGGGAGACTAGGATTGAATTCCAGGATGCTGATTTGAAGCTGGCTCAGCTCTGGCTGTTGAGAACATCTGGGGAGAGTGGTAGTGGATGGGAGATCTTCCGCTCTTTCTCTCCCTCTCTCTGCTCTTCAAATAAAATGAAGAGAAAAATTTTTTAAATATTTTTTTGAAACAGAGTTACACACACACAGATGGAGGCGCAGGAGAGGTCTTCCATTTGCTGGTTCACTCTTAACGTGGCTGCACTAGTCTAGGTCAAAGCCATGAGCCAGGAATGCCCAAGTCTCCCATGTGGGCTCAGTGGGCTCAAGTGCTTGAGCCATCTGCTGCTGCTTTTCCAGGTGCACTGGTGAGGAGCTGGACTGGAAGTGGGACAGTCAGAACCTGAACTGGTGCCTACAGCGGATAGCCACTGCAGGTTGTATCTTAAAATGATATTCCACTGTGCCAGCCCCATAAAATGGAAAAAAAATTGTTTTAATTAAAATATTTGATCAGTCATTATCAAAACCTAGAAGCTAGAATTCCTTCCTGTATTTTAATGGAAAAAGTTTAAGAAGTCACTTTTATTTCAGCCTTAAAAATTAAGCTTTGAGTAATGTTGAACTGTTTTAATTGTTATTATTGGGGGAACATTTTCTACTCATGGATATGTGGCCAAGGTCTGTTTCTGCGCCTTTCCAGCACAGTTGCTGTTTTTCTGCTCACCCTCAGCACTTACGCATGGTCCTCAGAGGACTGGCAGGTGTGCCCCCGCTCTCTCCCGTTCCCAGGGTACTGCTCTTGGAGTCTGAAGTAGCTGTCATTTATGTATTAACCAAGGTAGCTTGTTTAAGGTCCTGTTCTACCAAGTGTGCTAACAGAATTAGACAAACATAAAAAGCAAACTTTTTTTTTTTAACAAATAAGCAATATTTTTTGCACCGCACAGATTTCTAAAGACATGACATTAGCAACTTTGTAAGCATACTGATGACCATGGCATTGTCAAAGTTTACAAGCTGCTTAGCTTTCTTCCAACAAGGTCTTGGTAATTAAACTCTCTGAACTATTAATTCTTTTCAAACAAGAAAAAGCTGTTTGTGATAAAAAAAAAGTCAACACACATTCTATCAAAATCTAATTAAATTAACTGATCCTCTTCCAGGTAAGGCCTGGTGATTTTTTTCAGCTTAATCATTCATGGAAATACTGTTTACCCAGGTTACCCCAGGACCCTGAAGGGACCTTGACTAGGCTGTGGTTCCTCTGGCAGCTTTGAGTTTATGACCTACTTATAAATAGCCCTGTGCAAACAGACGCAGCAGGACCCCTGCCTGGAAGCTACTTTGGGAGTGTGTGTGGGGGGAGGAGGAAATGAAGCAGCTGTCATCCAAAGATCATTCTGGGTGTCTCATGTAATCTCCTGTATCTCCCCCAACATCCTGATTCCTCCGCGCAATTCTATCCATTAGCAGTTGACGGGAGGGAGAAAACAATTGCTTAAACAAGGCAGCACCTGAGAGCGGCAGCAGCTCTGTGAAGCTGATGGACTCCCAGGCATTTAGGATGTTTAACCCGACTGCATGCTTCCCAACACCCTGCCGAGGAGCATGGAGCTGGAGTCAGGTCACTGTGCGTGTGAAGCCCACTGGCAGCCTCGGGGAAGGGTTGAGATGGGGCCAACAGTGACAGATTCTAGAACATGGCCGTGCAGAGGAAAAAGCAGATGGGAGCTAGATACAGCATGCAACACTGCTTAGCTTTGACACACCGCAGAAATGAGAAGAGGAGGTAGTAGTGTTTCTAGTCTTCTTGGGAGCTTAATCCCACCCAGTATAATAGATACTTTAATCCAGTTAAGAATTAGGTGGGCTTTTCTGGATTCCATTGGGAATCTTACATGCATGAGATGGTATATGTAGAAGGAAATAAGCCAATTTCAATGACCAATTTATAGGAGGACATTTGGAGGGCAACCCACATATCCTTTGAGTGGAAAGAAAAACCTGGATGTAAGAGCAATAAGTGACAGTGAGAATGAACAGGGCTCTTAGACTGGATAGAGGAAGCAAAAAAAAAAAAATGGCTTGTGTGTTTCTTACTTAGATGATGAGGCATGTGATGGAACCATCATGCCCGGTTGAAGAATGGTGCACAAGGGGAGGCAATGAATCTGATTTTGGACAGATGCAGAAGCCATTATGGACTCAAACACATCTTATTTAAAAGTCCTCCACTGTGACTGAATCTTTAAAGCCAGGTACTGATGTGTCCATGCAGTGCTTCTCAGCAAGAGGGCATTCTGCTTCCCAGGGAACAGAAGTGTCTGGGGGCGTTTAGGGGTATGACCAGCATCTGAGAGGTAGACCAGGAATGTCGCTGGACACCCCACAATATCCAGGGAAGCACCCCCTCCAACAACAAAGAATTATGCAGCCCAAAATGTCTATAGTCTGAGGTTGAGAAGCCCTGCTTCAACACAATCCACATAATGTTCATATTATCTTTGGATGTGTGACAATTTGGGTAAGACAGCACCACCTAGTGGGTAGGAATAGTATTTTGTCCTAATTCTCTAAAATGAGACATGGAGATAAAGAACAAGCACCATATGATCTCTGGTATAAGGCAACCTTCATGTAAAATACAAAACAAATAGATATGTAGGTAAACAAGTATATACATATATTCTCATAGATGAACTACGTAATGGAGACTGACATGTTGGGAAGTGAAAATACATTTCAGTACATATTTCTACTTCCAAATAAAAGACTCTCAATGAAACTGTTAAATAAACCTTGACAATATGATACTAGATTTTCCACCATTGTCTATACCTCCAATGTCATGGCACACTTAAATAACAGCGTATTGGACTTGGGACTCTTGATGAGGGACTATATTATTGTAATAATATGGGGCGAAATGGTGGGAGGGGAGAATGTGGAGAGAGGAAGGAGTGAGGGTGGAGAGAATCCTTATACTTACAAAAGAGTATCATGAAAAATAATTATAACAATAAAAACGTAAAAAATAAAATAGCAGGAGAAAAAGAGAATATCCTTTTTGGGGAGAACTGCATGGCTTACGGAAGTGGTTGTGATGACAGCAACCCAGACGCAATCCGTGTTAGAAGGTGCTCTGGCTGCGGGAGAGCTCACAGCAGGTGTGAGCATGGGAACAGAACACGGCACAGGCTGCATGTCATACATAATGCATCCTGTCCCACTAAAGTGGCCTAAGCATTACTACGGTTATGGAGTACATGAAAAAGAAAAGGAAATCTAATAATTTGTTGAATAACTGAAAATTTTATTTCATAAGGATAAATAGCCTACAGCATTTTGTTTAAGAAACAAAGATTGAAAAGATTTCAGAAATCAGGAAAAAAAAAAAACAACAGCATGAAGATTTCCATTTGCTACTGAATGGACTTTTACCTTCAGAGTAGAGTTCTCTGCCACCGGATTGCACTCATCTGCCAGACTGTGAGCTGTCGAGGCCGGGCCTGTCTCCTCCTCGTCTTTGTATTGCCCCAAAAAGCAATACAAAGCATTGCACAGAGCACACACACGTGACGGAGTGAATGAATTTATTTTTATTCTGGAAATCCTTGCCTTGAAGCGAAGAAAGTTTCAAGCCCTTCTAAACAATGACTATTTCTATCTAAGTCACTGGAGGAAGGTGCCAGCTGAGGGCACCTGGCACAGTGAGCACAGGGAGTTGGTACAGACGCCTCCAATGCATGTCCCTGATGTACACGGAGCCAAGTGCTGTGGAACCTGTTCCCAGGGCGGTTCCTGAACTGGGTGTGTGGGAGACTCCTCCACCTGATGTAGGAGCCCTCCATTCAGCAAGAAGTTCTCAAAGGTTTATCTTGTGCCAGGCATTCCTCTGGGTGCTAAGGAGCTAGCTTTGACCTTAAAGTTCCCTTGGGTTGAGAGGCAGGTTTCGTTACATCAGAAAGAAGTTGCAGGTTCCCCTTGCAGTCCCTTCCTCAGCAGGAAATGCAACAGGTCTGGAGATCTCAAAGAGATCCCTTTCAAACCCGCAGCTCTGGGGGGCCTGGGCAACTGTCTCCTGTCACTTCTGCCCCTAATTTGAGGAGGGGGAGGGGTCTGTGGAGTGCAGCCTACGACTGAATGATGATGATTCCTGAATTTTCCAAGGGGCAATTGAAAGTGGCAGTTTTTAAAGTGATCTCCAGGCTATTTCCTTCTGATTGGTTTATTAACTACCCTTTCGTGCTGACATTTAGGAATATGCAGTCAGAACAAAAAGCAGATAGAACATGGAGCCAGCAGGCCAGTGGGGTCTGGCTGTGTCAATAGCATTTTTGCAATAGTGTTTCAGGTACCTTACCTCATAACTCAGCACACCCAGATGCCAACATACCCAGGCTTTCGCCACATTTGGGTGTTCTGTTGCACTGTTGCCTAATGCCAAATGGAAGCTGATTACTGAATTTGCTATGAAACCTCTGGCTGCGGGGTGGTGGCCTCCCGCCCCCCAATTTCCTTTGCATTGTTTCGTGAGTTCTAGGTCACTACTGTCTAACTCCTCTCAGGCCAGGCCTGTGGCCACAGGTCACTCCTAGGAGGACCTAAGCATCCTCAACACACCCAGAGGTGGGGCCTCTGCTAGCTCTCCCCAGGCAGTGATGCTGTGTCAGGTCGTTGTCCTCAGTTGGTCTGCCTTGTCTTCTCACATTGTTGCTGGAATCTTTAAATGGCACAGCCCCGGTGGCTCCCTCAGCTGGCTTATTCAGCACGCTCCTTGCCACAGGTCCAGCAGGATGGGAACTCACTCAAATTCAGTTGCTTGGATACTGCTGCTGACTCCTCCTCCGTCTCCCTGCACTGCTCTCCCCCTTCCAGCAGGCACCCAGGATGGTCTTAAAGTTCATCACTTTCCACCACACTCCGAGAGGAGCACGAATACACCACTGTGCTTTCCAGGGAGGAAAAGGCAGAAAAAATGTCAAGTCCTTTACTGGTGAGAGAGCCGTAGCGACTGCCACTGGGCCGGATGGACATGGGTGGTGGGATCTGCTGGTGCCACTGAGCTGGAAAAGGGACCAAACAGCACGTTATAATCAAAGGAACACAAGCTGGCAGGGACATCAGAGATGTGTGCTGTCCTCAATCCCACCCTCCAGGAAGAGTCAGGGTCAAGGCACCTTAACAGAGATGGCTCTGAATTGTGCTATGAGTGAAAGAGCAGTAAGGCTTTTCTTGCCAAGAAAGTAGGCTGCTGATCTCGTACGCGCCTCATTCTAAAACGTGTGATTCTAATTCAGTGAGAGTGGAGTCCTGTAAGCAGATTTGGATTCCTGCAGGAAGGAGAAGTGGGTGACCCGTTTGGGGTTTACCTGAAGCATGCTCCAGGGAGGGTGCCTCAGAAGAGAGACAAGAAACCCAAGGGAGTGGAAATCCGAAGATGGAGTCAGCCCTGGGAAGAGCCCTTACGCATCCCCCATCACCCTGCTTGGCTATATCCGACCGAGCCATCACCACAAGAAGACTGCAAAGTGCCTCAGGCGCAGAGGGCAAGGGGGGATTTGTCAGTTTGATGTCCACCTAACACTATCCCACAGGAGGGCAGGGGTTAGGCATGACCCTTTGCTGGATCAGCGAACACTTTTCCAAACTCTTGCATGGTGTCCCCCTTGTCTCCAACTCAGAAATAAGTGCTCTTGTGGTTTGGATTTGGGGGAGGGGTTTGCATTAGGTGAGGAACCCCTGGAGCTCTGGGCCCTACAAGGCTGTGCCCTAGTTAGCATTCTGCTCTTTAAAATCAGTCTTTTGTTGATTTCATAAACTTCTATCAGTTTCTCAGACTCCAGATGCCTCTGAGAAAATCCAATTTGGGAAGCTACACAACTGAAGACAAAACCTCCGGCTATTTTAGTAAAGGGCAGGTGCGTTAAGCCCCTCCCTGGACAGCCTGTCACCCCAGTCCCCCGCCGCATAGCTTTGACTGGAAACCTTCCTTTGGAGAAGAGAGAGCTGAGCCTATTGCCCCCAATACCCAGATAGGCAGAAAGTCTGGTGGTGTACAGGAAACTAATTCTAGCCTAAGTCCATTCCCTCCCCACCCCTGACCTCAGTGGAGGAAACAGCGCCTCCTACTGTTGATCCTGTAGAATTAGACTGGGCCCCAGGAAGGGTGCTGAGCCCAGACTGCCTTGCGAAATGGTTGAGGATTAGGACTCTGTGAGATTCAGTCTTGATGAGACACATCTCACTGCTTTCTTTTTCCCTTGATGCTCCCAGCTTTCTGACAGGTGAACTTATTTTCATGTCCAAGAGTTAGGAAAATAATCAGAAAAGTGGACATATTTCCTCCAACCACTAGTCCTAGGAAAAGGTGCAGCTAACAGCCCCTCCAGGAGGAAGTAAGACAAGGAGACATCTAGCATGCAGCTCCCAGCAGCAGTGGCTCTAGATGCGACCTTCGTTATTCTGGTTCATCATGTCACACCCCGTCTGAATATGAAACAGACTCATGTAACCTCGTCCTTGTTTTCTTAAGAAGAGCACAAAGAAGTACTCTGCTGGATTAAGAAAAGTCTGATCAAATGCCAGTTAATTCAAAATGTGTGGGGGAGAAGAATAAGCACAGAAATACATGAATAGAAGGATTAATTTCTTAGACTCTTTTGAAAATGAGACTCAAGGTCAAAGAGATGCTACAGAGGCCCGGATTTGCTTGCTGACTTTCTCTGGGCTTTGGATTCTTCTGCATTTATTTGAAGGTAACCGCAATTACAGTAATCTCATGGATCTGGGAGGACCCAAGGGAACCAGTTTATTAGTTACCAGTCTCTGTACAACTTTGATTTGATAACAATTATCATGAGGCCAGTTCTGGATTATTAGGGAAGGCTGATGGAGTAGAAGAAAACATGTTTGTTGAATGAATAAACGAATAATGTCAGGAACACTTTGTGGAGTGATGACAGCAGTGGGGAGTGGGTGGCCACCAGTGGGTGGCCCGGTGTGGCCAAGACCCAGCCTGAAGGTGCCGCTGGTCAGACATCTAACTTCAAGTAAGCTCTAGCCTGGCTACAATTACTATTCGTAGAAGAAAACCAACCTCATAGCAAGATGTAAATGTGTACCTAGGTCCCAGGTGCCATAGACAAGATGACTTTAAAAATTTTATCTATTGTGCGATGAAACATAATCCACCCAAATCATTTGTAGACACAGACTATAAAAATGTCTTTTAAAAAGGATTTTCAAGTTTCCTGTCAGCTAAAGGCATGATACTTACCATAAATGTCCAACCTGGCAGTGCACGACACAATGCCGGCTTCATTCTTGGCTGACAGCGTGTACCAGCCAGCATCTGACTTTTTGGCTGGCTGAATGAGGAGGCAGACATACCCTGTTGTGTCCTGGTGCATGCTGGAGAAAGAGAAAGGGCAAATATGCATTTAGTCTGGGAGCAGAAGTGTCCTTGTCATGTTCAAGGTTCAGGGAGCTCCCTAGAGCTCTTCCCCATACAGCAAAGGAAGGGGAACTCAGCTTAAGATTAATAACAGGGCAGGTGTGAGGTTGGGAAGGAACCCCTGCAGAGCAGTGGTGAGTCATAACGTCCAGAGGAGGGCGACAGTTCCCTGGGCTCCAGCTCCACCATGGCGGGTCCTCAACTGTCCTCCAGAGAGGCTTCCTCCAGAACAAGGCTAGACATTTGAGCGAGAACTTTGTTAGGAAGCTCTGGGGCGGCCTGGGGCTGGACGGGCTGAGAGCAGGGACGGGGTGCCCTCGTGCAGCCTGGGGAGTGTGCGCAGCAGAGTGTGAGGCGGTGAAGGGGCCTGCTCTCGCTGCTTGCGCACCAACTTCTGTTCTTAACCTCGGCTGCCCATGGAGTCCAGGTTGTACACCAGGCCAAATGCCTGCCCTTGCTTTTAAGCCCCTGTCAGATCATTTCATTGCATTTAAAAAATTGTGATTATTAATGTATAGGGTGGTAAGGAGGCGAGTTGCATAGTGCTTGAGCCTGGTGTCAGAGAGGTGTGAGAGCGCACTGTGGTAGCTTGGCGAGGGGCAGTGACCCCAGTGAAATCCACTGAGTGAGAAATAAATATACCATCATTCGTGTATTCCCAGATGTGTTTCGAAAAACTAACATCTATGAGTTTAAAGTATCAGAATGCCCTATTCCTGTGGTTAACACCATGGGCATGCATTTTCACTAATGGTAAGGACAAGATTTGATGCGCAGCGGCAGTGATCTCTGAGTTTGGGGCTCCCTCCGTTGAGCCTGCCATTCACTTGCCCTGGGAGTGGTGGCTAGGCTGAGCCAGCTCCCTAAGTCCAGAGGCTGAGGAGCCCCTCCAGCCCCGGAGCTCAGCCTGCACATGAAATGTGCTTCCTAGAGATTGATGCTTTTGCCCAGTGAAACCATATTTCAAATCTTACCCCCTTGGCTTAAGAGGGACGCAGGGACGGTTTACCTGGCATAATACACCTGCCTGCTGATTTAGACTGAAGGGTTAACTCACTGAAATTTTCCCAGAGGAAAATCTTCATTGCCAAAATCCTGCAAAAGCTAACGGCTGTGACATCCTCTGGTACAAACGCGGTTTACTGTGAAGTCTTGCTCAGAACAATTGGGTACAGAAATTGCCTCTGCTTGCTTGCCCTCTTGTGGTATAAAATCAAAATGACAAGGAAATGAGGTTGATGAGGGAAAAATCCAGCAAGGTAACCCATTTTAAGAAACTGTGTTCTTGAATTTAAAGAATAATGGTGATGATGATGATTTACTGGTAGATGGAAAAGGAGCAAAACTGCTTTAATGTTTTGTTTTAGCTTTCTGTTTCAAAGAGCTACCTGGTACTCAGATGATAGGGAATTTATGAAGACCTTCGTGTATTTTATCACATTTCTTCTGTGTATTTTTTAAGTTTAAAATGAATGTTTTAGAATTGGTATTTGTACACACAGGCTAGACACTGCTTGGGACATGTGCGGTTGCATCTCACTGTCTGAGTTTAAGTCCCAGCTCTGCTCTGACTCCTGCTTCCTGTTCAAGAGCACCCCAGGAGGCAGCAGGTGACAGCTCAAGTCTTGGGTCCTGCCACCCAGGAGGAAGACCCAGACTGAATTCCTGGCTGTTGGTTTCATCCTGGCCCAGCCAGTGAGGGTGTCTGGGGAGTAAGTTAGCACAGGACAGATCTCTCTTTATCTCGGTCTTTCCACCTTTTAAACGAATAAATAAAAATGTAAGATACAGTTTTAGGAGTGGTAATTTAGCCTGGTAAATTAAGATGCTGGTTGAGACGCCCAGGTCTCTTATTGGAGTTCCTAGGATTGGCCCCTGGTTCAGCTTTTGAGTCCACCTTCTTCTAATGCAGATCCCAGGGGGCAGTGGTGTTAGCGTAATGGACTGGGTTTCTGCCAATCATGTGGGGAACCTGGACTCAATTCCTGGCTCCCAGCTTCATCCTGGCACCATTCCATGGTTGCAGACATTTGGGGAATGGATCAGGAGCTCTTTGTTTCAAATTTTAAAAATTCCTTTTTTCCTTTTTTTTTTTAAAAAAAAATCTTACTCATTTCAAAGGCAGAGCTACAGAAAGTGGGAGAGGCAGAGATAAAGATTGATTTTCCATTTACTGTTTTAACCCCTCCAGATAGCCACAATGGCCAGGGCTGGGCCAGGCCCGCGCTAGGAGCCAGGAGCTCCCATGGGCAGACCGGGGCCTGGGAACTGAGGCCACCCTCCACTGACTTTATCAGGCGCATCAGCAAGGAGCTAGGATTGGGAATGGAGCAGTCAGGACACCGGCAGGCACCCAGAAGGTGGCCACCGTGCTGGCTCCCAAAATTGTCTTTAAAAATTGCAGTAAAAAAATTTTTTTTTAAACCAGAGATACCAAAAGGAATGCATTCTTGAGGTGCGCAGAAACACAGATGAGAGGCAAAGAGACGCTGGGGAAAGCAGGCTCATTCACTAGGCACTAGGCTTCACTGGGTGGCCAGGGCAGCGTCGTGCCAGCTTGGTGGCCGCCATACCTGACCCTGTCCCTGGTGAAAGGGATGGTCTCGTTGTCTTTCTTCCAGTAGAACACGGGCGGAGGCATGCCGATCACGCGGCACTCCAGTCGCACCGGGTGGCCTTCGGGAACCCCGCAGTTTTGCAGCTTCTCTAGAATCACTGGCGCTTTCTTGACCTCTTTGGCTGAAGGAGGAGAAGGCCACGCTTGTCTGAGTCCTTGGTGCTGGGAGCTTCAAGCCCCGTCCTGCCCCAGTCCCTCCCAGCTCCGACACTGTGCCCACCCCACCTGCTCCTCGGGGTGCTTCTCCTGCTGCGTGGGAATGCTCACCGCCTGGGAAAAGGCCCGCTGTGCAGTTAGTTACCAGATGCACAGAGTTCTCCGTGCATCCCGGCCCGTGAGGAGCTGCGGCTGCATTGGAAAGGCGGCCATGTCTTTTATGGCTCAATAGTAAATGTTGGCCAACAATATCCTGTATTGTCTAAAAGAGATCCTTTTTTGGAGTGTGGCGGAGAAGCTTGTCTTTTAGAAGACTTTAATATTCCCCAACTTTATTCTGAAAAAAATCTCACCCCTGCAGAATCCTCTATTTTTTTAAATCCCCACAAAATGACACTTCCTCAAGAATCTAACTGGGATGACTGGCTACCATTTATCACACGTGTCATCCGGACCAAGGACCACGGTACAGTTTTAGATGACCGCGTTGTAGAATGCTTGTCTGCCTGCCCTCAAAATCTTACCTACTACAGTGAGCTCCAAGCTAAAGGAATTTTGCCCGGTTTTGTTGGTAGCAACACACGTGTAGGTGCCCGCATCGCGTCGGGTGAGCGGGTCGATGAGCAGAGAGTGGACGCCCGTCTCCCTGACCAGCATCTTGTGGGAGGCGTCTGGTAGCACAGGTTGCCCATTGAGCAGCCACGTCAGCTCCGGGGGCGGTAAGCCGCTCACCTAATAAACAAGGCGACAGCTGAGGCAAATGACAGACCCATGACAGGCAGATTTATTTGGTGGCTGAATTCTTCATCCGGGTTTGGCACCAAAAGATGTAGGGAGAGAAAACATGGGCGGATGGGAGCACTTTCCACGGGGGGTGGGGAGAAGAGGAGCCTAAGCCAAAAGTTAGGTTCATTTAAACGACAGGCTGTTTTGACCCCAATTCAGGTCATGAATAATGCATGGGGTTATATTCTAAATCAGAATACATAAACATTTGAGGAGTTTATAGATAAAAGGCAGCAGCGTCAATTTCAGAGCCATGCCACTTGCACACCTAATAAGTAAAAAGTAGATAAGAGAAAGGTCAAACAAACATTAGCCCATGCTCCCAAACCATGCTACGTGTTACAATCACAAGGGGAGTGTTTCAAAATCCCATTGCCCCTGCTATGAAGTCAGAATCCCTGGGGCTGGACTAAGTAATTTTTTAGGGTTTAGTGAGATGGAAATAACAATCAACAAGAAGACTGATGAAGCAGCTCATCGGAGAGCAGGCACCACAGCCAGCAGGAGACTGCTGGAATGCTCTGCTTCAAGCCCTCACTGTTAGCGTCTAACTCTTCCACAGCATCCTGCATCTTTGGGGCACAAGGGGTGACAAACTTGTCTAGTGAGAGCCATGTACATGGCTCTACAGAAGCCTAGTTTCTGGTTGAAAACTTGGGAGGAGAATTCTACAGGTGACAGAGGCTGCTTAACATGAGAAAAGATCCTCTGCCCTGGTCAGCTGCCTTGTAGCCATCCTTCCGGGGCTGCCCTCCACAGCCACTCCCTTTAAGGATGTGACAATCATGCCACAGGCTTCCTAGTAATAGGGATACTCCCTGGAGTGTCCATATGGAGAACACATGAATTATATCACTTCTTTGGTTGTTGTCTAAAAACGCAGGGCTAACTGTATACGATACCAATGCCGTATGTTTAGAAAAACAAAGATGCAAAAGTTTCCCGAAATAACCGTTTTGAAAAGAGCTGTGAGAAAACTAGTCTCTTTCCCTTCTCCAGTCTGAGCAACACACACACACACACACACACACACACACACACACACACACACACACACACACACACACGGCAAACACATATACATCCCAATAGGAATTAAGAGTGGATCTGCAACCGAGGAAGTGTGCCACAGTCTACCTTACAGTCCAGCCGACAGAGGCGCCCCTCGTGAGCGACCATGTCTCCAGGAGCCTGCAGGAAATGTGGTCGGAAAAAGCGTTCTTGCAGAGGCTCCTTGTCTCTTTCTTGCAGTCGGGACCTTCCCCTGTAACAGCAAACGTTTTCAGGCAATAAACATGTAAACCCATTTATAAACTTAAGACAACAGGTATTTAGGTGTGGCTAGAGAGCCTAAAGAACAGATTTTCTGCTTTTAATAGGGGAAATGGATGGCTAGGCCATAAAGAAAAAACAATCATATGTAATAAATAATGATGTGGAACTGCTGTAAAAAAAAAAAACAGGCTGGTAAGCTTCTCATACATGATACGAAGATCTTGTGAGATCTGTCATCAAATAAACAGGCTTTAGTGTCTTTTTCTCTGAAGTCATTTTGGGTTGAGTGGCTCAACTCGTCTCACTGTGGGTTTGACCGGTTCAAAAGTCACCAACATAAACAAATCAGGATTCGATTTGAGCCTCAAATGACAGAAGATAAATCCTGCTTATTACTCAGAACAAGACAGTTACAAGTTTCCGTGTCCTTGAGTGATAGCTTTGAGCCTGGTCTATGAATTATGGCAGATCATTACAGGTAGTCATGAACTTGAACCACATAAGACTGACCAACAGAACAGCTCTTTCTTTGTGTGTGTGTGGGAAGGGGAGGGGAAGGAGGAAGGAGAGAAAGAGGAGGGGTTATGTGGAGAAGTAGGTGTAGTTGCAACAGTGGTGAAATGCTGTATCTGAAACATGGGTTGCTATTTTTGTACCTTTGGTAAGTCACATTTAATTTATCTGTGTCAGCAACCATGGAATGCTGCTAAGACTCTGTGGCACCAGAAGACTTGGGGGAGAGAAGCCAAGATCTTTTCTTCAAGAGGTGAGTAAGATCAGAGCAAAAACAAAACAAAACAAAAAAAAACCAACCAAACGCGCCCCCCAAAAAAACCCAAATGTTAAACTGGATACAGCAACAAAAAATTCGACTCATGCACATATAATCATTAGGGTTCTATGTTTTGAAAAAAGATGGTAATTTAAAGGATCTGCATTTCCTAGGATGTGCACAGGTGCTAAGGACAACGACCATGTAAAGTGTGCAGAGGCCAGTTCTATTCAAGCTCCAGCACTCTTAGGAATTTAATAAAAATGCAGATGTGGGGCTCAGTAGCTCTGGGGTGGGGCCTGGGATTCTGCATTTCCATCAGGCTCCCATGTGATGCTAATGCTGCAGGGGGAGGCCCACCTATAAGGAACAGGTTGTGGATCTAACACGTACAGTTTAGGTTAGGAAACAATCCAAGATGCCCAGGGGATACCTGAAACTTGAGAGCACACAGAACCCTACTTATGCCATTCTTCTTTCAATCCCTCCACGTCTATGATAAAGTTGAATGTATAAGCATAGTAAGAGACTAATGGCAGTGGAGTACAAAGGCACTGGAAAATGGAATTAAACGTTCAGCTTATTTTGGTGCAAAATGCTTGAAATCCAGCAAAAGGTTTTTTTTCGTATAACATGTTTTTGTGTATGTGTGAATATAATGAATATTGTGCATAGAGAATTATAACAATATACAGTTGTCCTTGGCTCTTGAGGAGGTTGGTTCTGGGCACATCCCTCCTCCCAGTGGACCTCAAAATCCCTAGATTGTTAAGTCCTTTTTATAAGATGGTAAGGATATAATCTATGTGCATCTTCTAGTACACTTTAAGTCATCTCTAGATTGCATACATTTCCTATTTATCACTGTACCATGTGGACCCAGGGTCTTGTGTAAGTTAATTGCTTGCCTGGATTTTTCTGGGAAAAGATATTTTTGAAGGTTTTTGTTCTGTGGTTGAATCCCAGGTTGTGGGGCCCAGGGCTGTGGAGAGCCAGCTGTACTTTGGTGCTCACTGTGGGAGGAGGAGCTCAGGAAGGTACTCAGAGAAGGGACATCTTCCTGTCTTTACCTGTGTGACTGACCCATTGGGGCTAGGCGGCTGCGAAGGGGCAAACTCTGGACCATCAAGTGGCCGGAGCAGCTGATTCGCCCCTGAGAAAAGAAAAATAAACAAGAGTAAAATAAGAAGAAACCCACATATTTTTTTACTCCACGTAAAACTTTCTGGAGCAGAACATCATGAAACTTTTGCCTAACTATTTGAGTTTTTCCTTGGAAGGCAGGAATGACAACAACACAGCTTTTGAATATTTCTTATGACTTCATTGCTAATATTCTGGGGGAAGAGATTTTTAAGACTATTTTAATGATTTTTTTTTTCAACCTGAGACATGAACAGAGCACAGTGTAAAACAATTGAATGCTGCATTACTCCCTAAATGGCCACAACAGCTGGACTGGAGTCAATTTGCAGCCAGGAGCCAGGAGCTTTCTCTGGGTCTCCCATGGATGTAAGGTCTCAAGGCTTTTGGCTATGCAGTGAATCGCTTTCCCAGACAACAAGCAGGAAGCTGGAAATGAAGTGGAACAGCTGGGACATGAACCAGTATCCATATGGGATTCTAGCACCTACAAAATGAAGGTTAGCCATTGAGCTATCACACCAGGCCAAACAGAGGTTTTTCAAAACTAATATTCCAATAGGAACAGTGGGTGATAGCTAAAAAGAGTAGTTTTGTAATCCTATTTGAATAATAATCGAAGATATTTTTCTCTGCTATATATATAAATATATATTTAAAAGTTGAGTGTATTTACTCTAAAAGAATGACAGGAAAGACAGAACTTCTGCGTACTCATTCACTCTCCCAAATTCCCACAGAATCTAGGGCTGGAACAGGCAAAAGCCAGGAGCCACGACCTCCATTCAGGTCTCTCACATCAGTGGCAGGAATCCAAGTACTTGGAGCTGTTATCTGCTGATCCTACCGGGATCAGAAGCAGAGCAACCAGGACTCAGAGATGTGTGTGTCCCACTCAACTGCTCCACAACACCTACCACTTTTAGGAGAATTTTAAGACTTGATATCATTTGGAAAAGAAAAGAGATTTGAGCTTCCAACTTTAACAAAAATATATTTTAAAAAGTTAAAAAGCGAAGACTTCAGGGAAATTCACAGACCTTTATAAAGTAATCTGCCTGTCCCCCCAAAATACAAAAGCAGATCATTTATTGCTGAAATGATTGATAGATTGGCTTGATGACTCTGCAAGACAGTTGATAAACAAAAGATTTGGCCCAGGAGGTCTGGAAAGCATATACAAAGTGAGGGGAGTACTGCTGTCCTTTGACAAAGTCAAGTGGTGAGGGACTCATCAGTATCTATCATCAGTGTGACACTGTTCTGGGTTACACACACTCAGTGCTCCTCCTTTACTTCCTCAGCAATCCTTAGCAAGTCACCTTTCTCACGGCCCCCTGCCCAGTGATTCAACTGCTTCTTCCTCCGAGTGCAGCATGTCATGTCATCCCTGGGGTCTCACCTGGGGGTTGGCTGCCATGATGGTATAGTTGCCATCATCATCATTGGTAGTGGATTCAATGTGCAGAGAACATGTCCCGTCTCCTTCCCTCCTCATTTTGCAGTGCTCATTCTTTTTAGAAATCTGCTTCCCATCTTTGAACCAGTATACCTGAAATGGAAGAGCATCAAGGAGAATATGCACTATTTCATAGGAAACTAGGGAGGAGGGTGAGGTAAGGGTCAATTGCCATCTCTATGATGAGTGACACTTGGAAAAAAGTTTCATATTCAAAGTGAATAATATGCCCCTTCACTTGTACCTATATGATATTTAAGTAAAAAAAAAACTTAGTGTAACTGAGAATTAGGACAGAACTTTTGACTATTTTTCATTGAACTGCATGATTAAGTTAAAAAGATACTCTAAGGACCCGATGTGTCTTCAGCAGCAAATAATCAAAACCAGCACCGTGGAGTACTCCTGATCCTAAACCATTATTTTATTCACAAGCTCAAGTCTCTTGCTATTGCAAGTATTGGCACCTTGCTTGATTTAGGATAGTAGAATAAGGCTAGGGTTCATTTAATAAATTCCTTTTAGTTTTCCAAAGGTTTATTTATTTATTTGAAAGTCAGATTATAGAAGGAGTTGGAGACAGAGATCTTTTATTCACGGGTTCTCTCCCCAGATGATTACAACATCCAGGGTGGAGCCAAGTCAAAGCCAGGATCCAGAAGTTTCTGCTGAGTCTCGCACATGAGTACACAGCCTCAGGTCCTTGGCTCATCTTCCTCTGCCTATCTAGGCCACTAACAGGGAGCTGAATTGCGAGTGGAGCAGCTGTGCCTGGTGTGATGGTTCAGTGGCTAAATCCTTGCCTTGTGCTCCCTGGGATCCCATATAGGAGCCGGTTCATGTCTGGCTGATCCACTTTCCATCCAGCTCCCTGCTTGTGGCCTGGAACAACAATAGAAGATGGCCCAAACCTTGAGACCCCACACCTGAGCAAGAGATCTGGAAGAAGCTCCTGGCTCCTGGCTTTGAGTCAGCTTAGCTCCTGCTGTTGTGGGAAGTAAATCAGCAGACAGAAGATATTTTTCTCTCTCCTCTTCTCTCTGTAAATCTGACTTTCCAATAAAAATAAATAACATGTATATGTAAGTGAAGTGGAGCAGCCAGGACGTGAACCAGCACCCATAAGGATGTTGGCATTGCGAGTGATGACTTTACCCATTATGCTACAACGTTGGCCCTGCTAAACTTCTTATTTGGCAAAACTTTAAATAAACGTGTATATTTTTTCAAGTTATGTTCCCTGTGTGTCAAGGAGAGCTCTCAAAGACAGGAGATTAAGCACCGGTTGCAGCTGCTCTTCTTAACTTTAATTGGTTACCTAACCACATAGGATAACACCATGCTAATGTTGGTGAAAGTAGAGTACAGAGATTTCCTACCACAATCTCACAGGGTGTTAATCCTTCTTCTCAGTCAACTGCCAAAAAATCTGGTGACTCATAAGATTTTCAGCAGCCAATGATAACGATATGACATTTTTGGCATTTACCAACCTAACAGTAATGATACAAATATAGTTTGCTCTGTACAACAACAGGCACCCTGTGGCTATCCAGTAGATATTAAATAGCAAGAAAAATATCAATTTGGTGAGTCTTTTGGCTAAGAAAATCAATGATTCAATACCATGGCTGAGAATTTTTTTAAACCTCTATTAGAGTTCTTATTGACCCATAGCCTGATTTATATTTGGTCTGACTAGTGAATGACTCTATTCTTGATGGTCTCAATTTAGTATTAGTATTGGTTTTTGGTATTGTTTTTCATTCCTTATATGACTACTTCACTAGCACTGAAAGCTTTCTTGAAGGCAGTGTCTATAGTTCTAGACTATTGATTGGCAAACTGGCAGGTCATCTTCCCCTACCTTTGGAACAGGTATTCCAACAATTTTGCAGGTGAATGTGACTGGCGAACCTTCTGTGACTCGGAAGTGCTTGAGTCTTTTGTCAAAGATAGGGGCAATACACTTGCCCGTGGGGATCTCATCATGTTGGATTTCATCATCTGATTCATCCACAGGAGTGCGTTCCAAGCGAAACTCTATTTCATTCATCAGCCTCTGCTCAAAGCTTGAAATTTTGTACTCCTATAAAAATGACAATGTTTCAATGTCAGTTTCTAGGATGAAGGATAGGGTGTTCATTGGCGTAATTGAGGATATGACTTAAAAATTCAGATGTTTTAGATCATGGAATTCCCAAAGACCAGTCATGTTTGCATCTCTAGTTTCTGACCAGGAAGCAGTAAGGAAATGCCTGTGTATCTATGGTAATGTCAAATTGCTTCAGTGAACCTTGGTCCCTCACTATGAACTTGGAGCATCAGTAGAATTCTGTAGAGAATGGAAAGAAGATGGAATATGATTTCCATGATGACAACTAGTATTCACTTCAAAAAGTAGTACTGTCTGCAGAGTTATTTTGACAAAAGCATTCTGAACTTTCTATAGGACATCCCTATCTGTACATTTGAGGAATACCCATCTTGGATAAATCTTAATTCTCCCCACACCTGTCTTCACTGCATCTTTTGTTGCTTTCCCTGCTTCCCGCCCCCACCACACAAAAGATTTGAAATAATTTTCTGTTGTTACAGGACCATTTTCAGAACCGTTTTCTCTTGCTGACCTACCAAATTATGCTTCATTGACATTGCTTCACTGAGACTGCTACTGCCAGTGTCTCCAGATGTGCCAACTCGAGTCATCCCTAATTGGTCCTTAGGTTACTTAACCTCTCTGGCATCAACACAGACAACTGCCTTTCCCTTCCGTTGTCTTCAGGGCCTACCACCATGCTGGTTTCCTGCTTTTCTAGCATCAGTCTCCCAGTCTCCTTTTTTGGCTCAGCTTTGGTTCAGTCTCTCAGCTTCAGTCATTTTCTTTGTTAAAGATTTCCAAATCCAAGTCTCCACTCCTAGTCCCTCTCTAGAAGCCCAGAGTTAGTCAGCTAGTGATCTATTCTTTGTTAGGGCACCCTGTGGACATCTCAAGTTTAGCACGGTCCAAACAGCCCACGTTGCATTTCAGTCTTCTGGAGATGCACCACATCTGCTCTTCATATCTATTCATTCATATCTTATTTTACAGAAGTACAGGTTGGAAACTTTGAAAGCTTGGTTGTCACCATGGGCAGTGTGAGGGTACTGATCTATCACTTAGCCAAGTGGATGCATAGTGGTACCCTCTCCTGAGATGAAGGAAGAGCAGATTGGAAGCATCTCTGGGAGACTGAAATCCAATGTGGGGTGTTTGGGTCATGCTAAAATTGATATATAAATCTGGCCTGTATGGAAATCAGACTAGTGATAAATGACCAATCCTGTCTCGATTTAAAAACTGCAGAGACATTCAGTTCCTCAGTAAAAGAAACTGAGGAGCTCAACAAAATTAGAATTTGCCGCTTGAAATTATAGCTCTGTTTTTCCCTTTGAAGATAATCTTCTTAAGGCTGATATTTTGACAACCTGAAGCATCTGACTTCTGTGACACATATGCACAGCCTGTCCTTCACATGGACTGCGTGAGAGCCACAATATAATGATAGATTTAGTAGACAAAAAGATGAACAGGGATACAGGGCATTTCCTTTTTCTACTTATCTAAGAATTACTTATTGCCTTTTGTGGGAATAACCAGTCCTCGTTGCCCCCTTGTCCCTGTTGCTGACGTCTTAGGAGGCAGCTACTGTGTAGTAAATACTGTGATGGGCACAGGGGATACAAAGACAGGTTCTCCCTTTGAAGATGTCGCATAAAACCCAAATTTAGTCTTTAAGAATAGTTAGTTTCTAAAAGATACACAGATTTACTTTCTACATAGGTTTTCAGTTAAGGCTAGAGTTTTGTTGAATTTCAGTGTGTTGTTAAGTTTTTGCTCTTTTTAGCAGCTGATTGAAATGGATTACTGTCTTTTCAGCTGGTTTCTATAATTAAGTATAATTAGACTCTCTATGGACAAGCTATCTTTTCCATAGCTGTGCAACAAACCCAAATTTTTCTATTTGATTAAAAGTTTCATTATTCTACCTAAAGCTAATGTACATCTCATAGTTGTGTGTTAATTTAGCAAACATTCACTGAGCATGGATTCTGGGTCAGGCATAATAGAGATGCAGCAATAAACAAGACATCGCACGCACCCCCTGCTCCCAGCCCTCAAGCATCCAGGGCTGTGGCATCCTCAGTGGGGTCATGGGAGCGGCCACAGGATACTTCACTGTCCCAGCACCTGGGGTCCTGCAGTGCCCAAGGTGGGCAACACATGGCCTTATGTGGTGCAACACAAGGCCTCTGTGGAATTCTTATTGGAAAAGGAATGGATGGCATGCTATTTGCTTACAAAAGCAGGTTGTCATAAAGAATTCACAATGAAAGGAAAGAAAAGCTGCTAAGATTTAAATAGAAGAAGTGACTGAACAGCTTAGGGAAGAAGGTGATTAGAGGAACAAACAAAAGAGCAAGAATCAGCTACCTTTTTTTTTTTCCTGTCATAGAGGGCAGTATCTGTGAACTGCAGGCAGTTTTCATGTGGCATTAAGAAAAAAAGCAGGGATGAGGGAGGCAGAATAAAGGGATAGCAAAGTTTCTAGAGAAAGGAGGTCAAGAGTCAGATTAGTAAAATGTATTCTTGCATTAAAAGAAAAATCACTTGGGACAGTTGTTTGGTGCAGCGGTTAAGTAATTGCTTGAGACACCTATATCCCATATTGGAGAGCCTGGGTTTGAATCCTGGTTCCACTTATGCTCTAGATTCCTGTCAACGCACACCCTGCCTAAAAGTGGTTGAAGTTCAGGTACTTGGGTCATTGCCACCTGTATGGATCTGGATTGGTTCAAAGCTCCTGGCTTGGTTCTGGCCTAGCCCCATTATGGATGTTTGGGAAGTGAAGCAGTGGTCAGAAGATCTTTCTCCCTCTTTCTGACTCTCTAGCTCTCAAATAAATAAAATTCTTAAAAGTCATTTGATTTTCAAAGACTAAAGTGAATGGCTCCAATAAGAAAATAAGTCTTTTGTGGCCGGAATAGCTCAGTTGGGAGAGCCTAAGTTAGACTGAAGAAAATAGTCTTTGGTTTTTATGATGGGCACTTCAGGCTTTCCTCTTTCTCCTTCAGGGCAAACACTAAAAAGCCAGGATGTTCAACAGGTTGAGCCATGTGTTGTTGCCTAATGACTAGTTCACATGATTTAGTGCATTATAGAGACGCAGAGGGACTGGTGATCAGATCTCTGGGCCCATGAGAGTGAAGGATGTCACATGAAGCACAGTTTAGAACCTCAAGATTCTTTCAAGTCAGGATCATCTTGAGTGTCAGATATTGGATTATCTTAGTGATGTGACCAAACTGAGCAAAGTATAGACACAATGGCTTTTGGACTAATCTCACTCCTTCTTTAATACAGTACTTCCTTCTTTATCTAGGATTCCACTTTCTACAATTCTACTTCTCTTGGTCAACTGAGGTCTGAAAATATTAAAATGGAAAATTCCAGAAATAAACAGTGAAAATAACTTATTACATATAATCATACTTATATTGTTTACACATAAGTCAATTATTTAACATATTTGTTCGATTTTATTATTAAGTATTATTAACCTCTGCCTTGTCTGATTTACATATTGAGTTTTATCAAAGGTATGCGCGCACAAGAAAAATTGTTTGGCACTATCTGAGATTTCAGGCATCCTGCAGGTGAGGGAGAACTATTATATATTCTATTCTGGGTCAATTGGTAAACAACAAAGCTAAGTTAACTTCTAGAATAATCCAGCTGTACAATGGGTGGGTTCTTCAGAACTCTTATTCTGTGCTCTTCCCGCTAAACCGCAGCATCACTCTCACTGAGGTCAAATGACCTGAATATCTATAGATTGAGCTCAGCAAAGTTCTATTGCTTATCAAAAACTCCAACAAGCAGTCTGAATCCCACGATCTTACCTGCTGGTTTGTTCTGATGTCACCAAAACTCACTTTCTTCCCCAAGTCGAGCATCACTGCATTCTTAGTTTCACGAATGTAATCGTCAGTCACTGGTTGAGAGGACCTGGTGGTCTTCTTCATCAGTCCTTGCGATGGCCTGCAAAATAAATCCATACCCGATATACCCATGATACACCCTGCTCACCAGGCAAAGGCCCCGAGGTCGTGATGGTTGAAGTGACAACTGGCAGTTGCCTAGGAACCCTCTAATAGAGACCCCCCTCCCGGACCCAGCTGTTCTGTGCAAGTGCCACCTCTTAACACTTACGTGGACGGTGCGCTTTTAGGCAGCCCCATGGCATTGGTGGGTGGGGTGGCAGGGAGAGAAGGCAGAACCGAGCTGAGGAAAGCCACCGGGTTCTGAATCCGGCCAGTGGGAGAGACGGGAGTTGGGGACACACAGCGGGGCTGAAACTGGTTTCCACTGGGGATGGAAAATGTGAGCGCTGAGTGCGTCGGTTCCGTGGGACCCGCAGCGGGTGGCTCGGTTTGGATGGAAACCCCGCTTGGAGGTTTGGCTTGCGTGGAGGGCGGAGAGGTTAGGAGGCTCTCTTTGCTCACTGTCCTCGGCAGGGTTTGTGGAGTGCTGCTCAAGGTGAGCACGGGTGAGCTGGAAGGAGCCGCGGTGGTAGCCGGGGTGCAGCTTGTGGAGGGGAAGAAATGCTTCGGCCGGGCCAAGTTGAAGGTCTGGGATGATGGAGCCTTCCCCGGCTTGCTGGACATCGTCACTGCTGCGGGAGCAGAGGAGTTCGAAACGCTCCCGTGGAAAGGAAACTCCTTAGGGGAGGAGGGAGACGAATTTTGCAACTGTTGCTGTTCCAGTAAGACTTGGTTGTGAAGCTGTTGTAACTGAACGGAATCACTGCACACGAGATAGAGTGGGGAGAGATGAGAAAAAGTGTTACCACCGGGTTCATCCTTCAGAAACCATGTGCACAGGCTGTTCCAACTTGATTCGGATTAAAAACACACAGAATGGGCCTCAGGGTCCAGCAAGTGAACTGATGTGTGGGATGCCAGCTTCCCATATCAGGGTGTCCAGGTGTGAGTCCTGAACAGGCTTTCAACCCAGCTTCCTGCTAATGTGCACACAGGAAGGCAGCAGGTGATGGCTAAGGTACTTAAACCCTGCTACCCACGTGGTGGGACCCAGGTTGACCTGTTGGCTCCTGGCTTCACCCTGGTCCAGACCTGACTGTTGCAGACATTGGAGGAGTGCACCAGTGGATGGAAGATCAGCCTCTCCCTCCTCTATTTTTCTCTGCCTTTGAAATAAAATAAAAATAAACACATAAACAATTTTTAAGAAGAACATGCAGCTATGGGATAGCCAGAAATTAGCTACTTGATCCCTGGTGAGTTGTGAGTTATCTTTTGTCCCAAGGCTGTTGTTAGAATACAATCATTGTATTTGTGTTGTGACCCCAGAGTTGTGTAACACAGAATGTTTCCAAAGTAGAAAAAAGAACTAGAGACAGTGTTCCTTGGTTGGCAGTGCTCAAAGTTCTGACAAGCAGTAGACAGAATCCCAGCTTTGGGATGGAAGGAGCTGAGCTCCTCAGCCATCTCAGGCTCTGAAGCGGCTGAATTCCCCCAGAGAATTTGCCTTGTCCTGGAGCAAACCTGCACAAAGAGCCTAACGGCAGAGTTACACAGAAAAAGGCAAGACAGAAAAGAAGAGGTCTTTTATCTACTGATTCACTTCCCAAATGGTTGTAGTGGCTGGAGCTGGGCTGATCTGAAACCAGGAGCCAGAAGCTCTTACTGGGTCTCCCACATGTGTGCAGAGGCCCAAGAGCTTGAACCATAAGCAGGAAGCTTGTGTGGAAATGGAGCAGCCGGGACATGAACCAGCACCAGATTGGATGCGAGCACCGTAGATGGAGACTTGGTTTACTATGCCACAGTGCCAGGCCCTGATGTGCCTTAATGTTTGAAGATAAGGTGACCACGTCCTGCTTCTTCTGGAACAGTCCTGGTTTATATCTCTCTCTTTTAAAGGCACAGTTAGTAATAGTGCTCATTCTAAAAAGCAGTCTTGATTTGAGTGATAGGTTACATGGCCACACAGATTATAGACATTGTCTTAGGCTGCTCTTATGCCTCAAAGGAGAAAGATCAAGTTGGAGCAACGTCTCTTCTTACAGGAACCTGAATCATGCAGGCATTATGTAATTTTCCCAAAGTCCTAACTCTACTTAATTTCTCTTCACGAGATGACCTTTTTTTTTTTTTTTTAAGAAAAAGAGCTGAGGGCCCAGTGTAGTAGCTTAGTGGCTAACGTCCTTGTCTTGCACGCAACAGGATCCCATGTATGGGTGCCGGTTCTAATCACAGCAGCTCCACTTCTCATCCAAGCTCCCTGCTTGTGGCCTGGGAAAGCAATTGAGGACATCCAGAGCCTTGGGACCTTGCATCCATGTGGGAGACCTGGAAGAAGCTCCTGGCTCTTGGCTTTCAGATCGGCTCAGCTCTGGCCGTTGCGGTCACTTGGGGCGTGAATCATTGGACAGAAGATCTTCCTTTCTGTTTCTCTTCCTCTCTGCATATCTGACTTTCCAAAGAAAATAAATAAATATTTTTTAAAAAAGTAAACTGTTATGAAATGAACTCCCCAGAGGAAGTAAGTTATAACACGGCAACTACAATAATACCATCTAGCATCAAGAGTTAAAAAAAAAAAGCTGAAACAAAAATGCTGTCATCATGTACCTACGCAGCCATCATGGCTACCAAACCTTGATCTTTGGGGAATCTGTTCTTTGGAAATTAATGGTATGTCTGGAACACTGTGGGTGTCAAGACCAGTCATCACAGAGTTGAACAGGAAGGTTCCCAAGTCTTGATTTTCTTAGTTCTTGGAATTTAACACCTTTTTCTTTCCTTGCATTAATGTTTTAGGTACGTCATTTATGGAAAACGTAACTTCACAAAAGAAAGACCCATTGCTGCTGTCAAATGCAATCTACCAGACAACCCTTTGTTCATCCACAAAAAAGCTTTTCTTGAGTTAAACTAAGGATTCAGAAGTGTTATGCACTTGGCACAGTAACTTTCTTATGATCCCTTTTAGAAAATGAGTGTTGAAGCTGAGAGACAACAATATAAATAAATTTAAACTCTTTCATTTCTCTGTACATGAAAGATTTACAAATTAAGAGACATAGAAATATCTTTGTTTGGCCACCCTTACAAAAATATACAGAATTGACATTGTTTCTGTTGCTCTTGACTTTTCCACATACTATGGCAATACACAATCTTAATGTTTGATGGATCTCGTTTTTGCCATAATATCTCCTCTGACTATTAGAAGGCAGGCCATGTGGTTTTCAGCATGCTCTGTATTATTTTATCAAAGCAAATTTTAATCTGATGACATTGCAGAAACAGTTATTTCTGACTGCGGAAATTGAAGATGTGGTGCTAAGAAAGAAAACAATGATAGCGGGGCAGGAAGTCTTTTGGTTCCTATTTGCCTTTACTTCCTGTTGAGTAACAGCCAAGGTCCAGTTTTCTCACTTAAATAAGACTTCAAATAGCATGCCAGCCCTTCCCGCTCAGTGAAATATGTTTGGATTTGGATTTATGTGTATGTGTTTGGAAGTATACTGTATTTAGATTGTAGAGGATCACAAACCTTAAACAAAATGTTACATAAAGGATCAAATTATTTAGACTAAGACTCTGAAGGAATTCATTTGAAAATGCCTTTTTGTTTCAACATTTTCTTATATTCTATCGTTTTTCAGAAGGGATTTAAAACAACTGGTTGGTTTAGTGTGTTTATTACATCAGGACAATTCCTTTATTCGATGATATTAAGCTTTTTTGCTAGGTCTTGCAGAAGATACAAATGTGTCTGAGATTGTATGTCAACTGAAAAAAATCAAGTGGGGCATGCATATGTATCCCGCAACTAGTAGTTATTTACAAATAATATGGGGGCACCTGTATATCAGCGCCTAGTAAAGATAGAAGACTAATTTCAAGGTTCACTAGTTCTAAAATCTCAAATAAGCTTTAATTCAAAGTAACAACCTGTCATAAATTGTTGTAAACTTGGCTGGTCATTTCTTGTTGCTGTGGAATCTTGGAACTCATGTTTATACCCCAAATTTTTTTCTGTAGATTTATTAACTCTCTCCAGTTACCTTAAAATATCTTTCCATTTGTCACAACTTAATTTAAGCTTATGAGCTCTGCAGACACACACACACACTCAGGTCCTAATCCTGGCTCTGTGTGGCTTTAGGTAGCTTCTAGACTCATCTGACCCTGATTCTCTTTATAATTAAAATGGTAATAATAGCACTTCTTCACGTTGTGGGAACTGACAAAGTAAATCACCCAAAAGATGTAAGCAATTGATAGATGGTTACTATTACTTGTGTCTATTTCTGAACCACAGGAGTCAGTTTCAAGCATTTTACAAATAAAGATCATATGAAATATTCTAGAAAAGAATTTCTCAAGGATTTTGAAGTTTTGTGATAAAATATCAGATAACAGTAAATTTGGGAGGCAGTGTTTCCAAAAGCAGTTTCAGCAGCAATTTCGCATCAGAGTCAGCACTCATGCGCACACAGGCCATCAACTGGCACTTGCTACAAAGCAGGGTGTTATCGCATCTGCCAGCCGTCCCCCTCCTGAGTAGGATACCTCGATGTTTGGAGATAAGGTATGGCTTTCGCAGTGGTTCCTGGCAGCTGTTTAGAATCACCTGGAGACCGTAAAAACACAAACAAAACTCACTCTGTTGGGTACCATGGCCCTGACAATGAATGGGCCTGGGAAGGCATCCAGGTCTGATTATTATTATCTTTGAATATGTAGGTCATTCGTTCTTAAATGTTAGCCAGCCAGTTGGGTGGCTTCAAGCAGAGATTTCTGGTTCCACCCCAGTGTTCCTGATTCAGGGGATGGGGTGGACCTGAGAATTTGCATTTTTGTACAGTCCCAAGGTAAGGCCAGTGCTGCTGGTCCCTCTAACCCAATCGATGGTTCTAGGCGTCAGGACTAAGAACCACTGCTCCAAAAGATGCATGTCCCCAAATACAGGCTTTCCCAGGATATTCTGATTTTTTCCTCTTTTTTTGACATCTTATTCACTTTTATTTATTGTTTTCTTCATGGATGGGACATGTGGGGTGAGGACCAGCTGCAAAGAGGTTACTTCTTAAACTCTAGACCAGTGGTTTCCAAATAAATTGCAGGAAGCTCTCAGTTTAACTAATGGGGTATAACTGATGGAGGACACAAGTAATTTTTCATACCTGCACATTTTATTCTAGATTGTACCCAGGATGAACCTTTAGACAGCTTGATACTCAAATTGAAAATTTCAGAGTTAGAATTGTCTAGACTTTGGGGGCCAGTGCCATCAGCCTGTGGGTGTGCTGGTTTGAGTGGCTGGCTGCTCTGTTTCTGATCCAGCTCCCTACTGATGCACCTGGGAAAGCAGTAGAAGACGGCCCAACTGCTTGGGCCCCTGCTTCCCACACGGGAGACCTGGGTAGACTTTCAGGCTCCTGACTTCAGCCTGACCAAGCCTCAGCCATTGCGACCATTTGGGGAATGGAATAACTCTGTCTCTCCCTGTTTCTCCGAAATCACATCTTTCAAATAAGTAAACCAGTCTTCAAAACCAAAGAATATCTAGACTTTACTGACAATCTTTGCAATGGTATTCTCCCATTCTGTGACAGTTTTAAGGTGTACATTATCTCTGTTGTCCATGTGAGTGGCAAATTGGAGGAACCCTACCACCTCTTTCCCAGGCACATCAGTAGAGAGCCGGATTGCAAGTGGAGCAGCCAGAACACAAACTGTTGCCCATATGGGATGTTGACATTGTAGGGAGTGATGTAACCTTCATAATCTGCTTAATCTGCATCTTAGCCAGTCAGCTAAATGCCTAGAATCAATATATTTCAGTTCCAAACTTGGGAGGATAAAAGTAATAAGAGAGCAGGTATTTAACCTTGTGGTTGACAACCACATCCTACTTTGTAGTACCTGGGTTTGAATTCCCTGGCTGACATTGGTTTGCTGCTGTGCAAACCCTGGGAAGTAGCAGTGATGGCCTAAGTAATTGGATTTCTGCATCCACCTGGAAGGCCTGCATGGTATTCCAGAATCCTAGCTCTGGCCTCTGCCCCCACTGATGTCTGCATTTGGGAAATGAGCCAGTAGATGAGAGATCTTCCTGTGTTTTTATCTCCATGTGTCTCTTTGTTTCTCTTTCCAAGAAATAGATTTTTTAAAAAAATTTATTTATTCTTATTGGAAAGTCAGATTTACAGAGAGAAGGAGTGATTGAGAGGAAGATCCTCTGAGCACTGGTTCATTCCCCAAGTGGCTGCAATGACTGGAGCTGAGCGGATCTGATGCCAGGAGCAAAGAGCAGTCTAGACCTGTTGAAATTCACACTCAAACTGCCAACAATCGAGTTAACGTTGATCCTTGATATAGGTCATGATGTAGATGTGCATGTTTGTGATGGGCCCATAGGAATTGATGAGTTTCCAGAAAAAGAAGCATGGAGGAGATGGGGAAAGAGGAAAGATGGAGATGCTGAGACAAGCAGAGGGTGAGCCAGCTGTGCCAACTGTAGCTGACAAAGGCTGGGATGGCTGTGATCCCTGAGAGGCAGGTGAGGCGCCCATGTTCCCAGCTCAGCCACTCTCCTGCAGAGCCTGGCTGCTTGTCTGCCTGTGTCCCTGCATTAACCCCTCCCTACTCCCATTTCTTACTTGAAGTGGAGGCTTTCTCCTGTGCCTGCAGCAACTTTGTATGGACTAAAACATTTCTGGTTGTAATTTGCTGAGAGGCATGTTTAATAACATTGAATTTTACATCCAGAATTCTGTATGTAGTGACAGGAGTCCAAACCTAAGTGATAGGAGGGGCTTCCAAATGGACCTCTTAGCACTGAGTCACACTGGACTGGAGTTCTATACTATAGTGCTTGATGCTGACTTTAAAAGGCTGATGTAGCTATAAGCATTATTGTTTTAAAATTCATTTTTAAAAAGCTTTATTATTTTTGATTGGAAAGTCATTTATACAGAAAGGAGGAGAGACAGAGAGGAAGAGCTTCCATCCGTTGATTCACTCCCCAAGCAGCCACAATGGTCAGAGCTAAGCTGATTCAAAGCCAGGAACCTGGAGCCTCTTCCGGGTCTCCCATGTGAGTGCAAAGTCCCAAGGCTTTGGGCTGTCCTTGACTGTTTTCCCAGGACACAAGCTGGGAGCTGGATGGGAAGCGGGGCTGCCGGGATTGGAACCGGCGCCCATATAGGATCCCGTTACGTGCAAGGCGAGGACTTTAGCTATTAATTCTCTAGAGGGTCATGACAGCAGGCTCCTGGGTTGAATCAGAAAATTGTAACCTCTTCTTTCATGCCATTATATTTATACAAAACCTGCTATGCTTCTGCACTGTATCTGGCAATGGCAAAGACATCAAAAGTACTGAGTAACTTTCTTACAATGATGACTGAAGCTGAGGCTGAAATAAGAAATGGGAACTAGAAGGATGAAGTTATAGACTTTAAAGATGTTAGATGAAAGAAAGGGCTTTACAGGCCCAGCGCAATAGCCTAGTGGCTAAACCCTTGTCTTGCATTCACCAGGACCCCATATGAGTGCCGGTTAGTATTTAGCTGCTCCACTTCCCCTTCCAGCTCCCTGCTTGTGACCTGGGAAATCAGTTGAGAGCAGCCCAAAGCCTTGAGACCCTGCACCCGAATGGGAGACCCTAAAGAAGCTCCTGGCTGCTGGCTTCAGATCGGCTCAGCTCTGGTCGTTGCGGCCACTTGGGAATTGAGCCAGCAGATGGAAGATCTTTCTCTCTGTCCTCCTCTCTGTAAATCTGACTTTCAAAAAAAAAAATCTTAAAAAAAAAAAAAAAGAAAGAGTTTTACAGGAGGAACACAGTGTCATTGCATGTGGAACCTCAAATATCACGTCAGTGCCTCTCTTGGTTAGCTTAGTTGTACCAATGCTTGGGGGTAGAATATTAGTAATAACAATGATAATGGTAGCTTTCATGTGTACTTTATTACTTGGTAATTCCCTGCTGTGCTCCACCACCTTCAGGAAAGTTTCACTCAAGACAAGCTTGCAGACCCTCTTGCTTTTCCATTCTATGTTTTACTTACAGTTTGGGCTTTGCCAGAACTGGAGGTGGCTCCTTGATGGGTGAGGAAGGCTCCTGGAGTTTTGTCGCCTGGCCATTAAACTTCTCCTGGAAAGAGTTGGGCCTGGTCTGGGGGGTGGCCGTCACTCCGCTCTCCGAGGAGGAGGCTTCACTTCCTTTGTCATCTTCAGGCAGGTTGAAGTGCACACGGAGCCCGATCCTGGAACTGGACCTGGGCTCATTGTGGTTCACTAGAACCCCTTCTAGTTTGGGCTTGGGGTGTTGTTCTGCAGAAGGAGGCTCAGGCTTGGGAGGAGATGGCTGCTGCTCGAGAACAGCCAAGTTTGTGGTGGAGTTAGCCGAGTGAAGAGACCCATTGTTTCCAAGGTCTTCATTTCCTGAAAGAATGATCACAGGACCCACGCTGTCAGCCTCAGCCATGACTGCAATTGTATTGTAGCCCTGAGCTGGGGCATGTATACAGAAGGGAAGATATTCAAGTAGAATGAATGCACAAATGGGAAAATGCTTACAAAACATAGATCATAGTCTAGGTCATGAAACAATAGTGAAGATGCAGGAATAAAACTAAAAATCTAAATATCCCTTTGGATGGAATCTTAGAAATTGATATAAGACCAAGGAGTTTTTTTTTCAATCTTAGAAAGTACAGTAGACTCCCCTTTGTCCTAAGGGATTTTGTCCAAGACTCCCCGGTGGAGACCTAAAACTGGATAGTATCAAACCCATGCATACTAGGATGTTCCCCATAAGCCCTGCAGTGTTGCCACATAGTGCCAGAGTTCATCTGGCCTTCCCTATCTCATGCCTTGGTGCCTCCTGTGCATCACCACTCTTTCCCTTTGGGGCATTACTAAGTAAAATAAGGGTTACTTAAATGCAAGCACTGAGATTTTGCTTCAGTCCATCTGGTAACTCAGCTACTCAGGGACCAGCAAGTGGGTAGCACATACAGCATGGACACACTGGACAAGGGAATGATTCATGTCCCAGGCGGGGTGGAGGGAGTAGAACTTCACAAGATTTCATTATGCTGTTCAGACAGACTGCAATTTAAAATGTGTATTGATTATTTCTGTAATTTTCAAATCAGTATTTCTGGAGTACATGTAACTGAAAGCAAGGCCACGGGGCAGAGAGTGGTTATTGTACAAAGATGACAGCAGATAACTGGGGTGGAATGGGAGTATAAAAACAAATGGGGAGTTGGACATTGCTCAAGAGCACTTCCCTTAATAATTGAAATAGTTTCAGTAGAGCCAAGTTATTTGTGCATGAAGAGCAGTCGGGAATGGTAACACCAATGCATATTCGCACTCAGAGTCATAGTACAAACTTGCCGGGCACATAAAGAGGCCTCACCTCTCACGTCCAGCTGTGCAATGCTGGACACTGTGCCGTATTTGTTGCTTGCAGTACATGTGAAGCATCCAGAGTCTTCTGCGAACACCTCAGCAATGACCAATGTGCAAATCTCCTCTGGAAGCCAATAAAACACAATGGTTACTGTCTTAATCGTGAAATTGAATTTAAGCTTCACCTCCTGACTCCAGCTTCCTGACAATGTGTACTCTGGGAGGCAGCAAGTGATGGCTCGAGGAGTTGGGGTCCTGCCACCCACATGGACGCCCCGGGCTGAGCTCCTGGCTCCTGGGTTTGGTTCTGGCTATTGTGAGCATCTGAGGAGTGAACCAGAGAATGGGAGCTCTTTCTGTCAAGTAAAGAAATAGTTTTAAAAAATGATGGAATTATTACCAGATAGTGATTCTGCAAAAGTCATTTAAGAAGCTGATTATCTTACCTTTGGAAACAATTGGCCAAACCAAATATTGACTGGATTGGCTGATTACAGACTAAATAAAGGATATAGAAACAGTAGCTGCATGAAGACTCAGCACTCATAAGAGTCTACATATGACAGATTTTTAGACGATCTATTTTTTAAAAAGATCTATTTATATATTTATTTGAGAGAGAGAGAGGAGGGAACAATTTTTATTAACACCCAGAGTGGCCACAATCACAAGGGCTAAGCCAGAGGCACATTAGCACGGCAGCAGACCAGAACCCGCATGGGATGCTGGCAACACAGGCAGTGCCTTACTCACTACATCACAAAGGCAGCTCACACATATTCTTCTATTTTAATGTTGTCAGTCCAGATGGCAAAAATAGAATTAATAATTTTAGAAAGTCACAAAAAATAAATTAGGAATCAAAGAAAAAGGATGAACAAAAGTTTTTAAAATCTGGTTTCTTATTATTTCCATGGGAACCATTGCAGTGAAGTAATATTAAACAAAGGCCACAATTTATTTGTTTTTAATATTTGTTTATTTGAAAATCAGAATGACACAGAGAGATGGAAAAATGGAGAGACAGAAAGAGAGAGACACAGAGAGAGAGAGATTTTCCACACATCCACTGGTTCACTTCCAAATGTCCACAAGGGCCAGGGTTCGGCCAGGCCAAAGCAAGGAGCCAGGAGCCAGATATTCCACCTGGATCTCCCATATGGTAGCAGGGGTCAAGGCACTAAACTTATCCTCTGCCCCTTTCCCAGGCATATTTTCAGGCAGCTGGATTGGAAGATAGAGCAGCCAGAATTTGGTGTTCTTAAATGGAATTGTGGTATTACAAGTGGTGACTTTATTGTGCATCACTGGCTCCCAAAGGCCTCAAAGTTTATTTTATTATTTATCATTTATATACATTGTATTTAGTATTTGTTTATTTTATTTGGAAAGACAGATTTACAGAGAGGAGAGACAGAGAGGAAGATCTTCTATCCGCTGATTCACTCCCCAAGTGAGCGCAATGGGTAGAGCTGAGCCCATCGGAAGCCAAGAGCTTCTTCCAGGTCTCCAAAGCAGGTGCAGGGTCCCAAGGCCTTGGGCCGTCCTCGACTGCTTTCCTAGACCACAAGCATGGACCTGGATGGCAAGCGGAGCCACCAGGACACGAACTGGTGCCAATATGGGATCCTGGCACATGCAAGGTGAGGACTTTAGGCACTGGGTCACCACTCCAGGCACAAAGGTCCCAGTTTAAAACTGAACATTGAATAAATGTGTTGTTTTTGTTTGTTTGTTTTTTACTTACTAATGGTTGGTTGATAGAGTAACTTGAGATTCTGGGTGAAAGAAGAATGATACACACGTCTACCTTAAAAATGTGATAGGATTACTTACCTTAGTACTGATTATTATTGTTACTTTAGTATGGATTATTTCTGTAATAGTATGAGCCCTTGTGAATAACTACAGAGGTAATTCTCAAATTGAACCAGATGACTGAAGACTGAAATTATTATAGCTAGATATACTATTACTATTAATAAAGAGGAAGGATAAAAGAGAGCATAACTTCTAGTTATCACTCAGTAGATCCTGGTATTAAAATATGCTTATATTAGGGGAAATTTGGCATCTCAGTACTTCAAGACAGTTGAGTTGGAGTGGATGTGTGGGATGCTTGCCTATCTCAGTGTCTGAGTTCAAGTTCTAGCTCCACTTCCAATACAGCTTCCTGACAGTACACCCTAGGGAGCAGCAAGCACTTGGCTCAAGCACTTAGATTCTGCCACCAAGGTGGGAAACCACAGTGCCTTCCCGGCTCTTGCACTTATCCTGGCCCGCCCTGGCTATTGTGGGCATTTGGGGAGTGAACCCACAGATGGAAGATCGCTCTTGTCTTTCTGCCTTTCAAGTTAAAATGATAGTAGTTTCCTTTTATTAAGGTATCTGAATTGAATTCACTAGACTATTTCTAGAGAAAATGATGATGAGACCATGGCAGCCAGTTTCAAACACACCTACTTAATAACTCTATCCTTTTCCTCACTTGATAGAACTCAGGCTTTGTCCAGGTTTCATGAAATGGTCATGTACTTCGAGGCAAGCTGGCCTCTGAGCCTCATGATTAATCATGATTAATCCAGGCACGCTAACTCTATTCATGCTAAGCAGTGACAAATGATACACGGTTCTGGGAATTGTCTCTCTGGAAAGGCTTTCCTTTGCTTTTGAGAGACAGAAGATAATATTATCTTTATTTTGTCTCTAGAGGTTGTTACCTACAGGGGAGGCCCAGAACTGTGGCATCTATCTCTGGTCTGTGAGTAGAACTAACAACAAAGGGAACTCTGAAGGTGGGATTGGATGCCTGGTGATCTCTGAGTAATAGAACCAATTTCAGGACACCCGCCTCTCAGGCAGTCTTGTTATATGAGAAAGTAGATTTTCACTTTGTTTAGGCTACTTTTAGTTAGGTCTTCTTTATTTACTGCCCAGAGAATCCTAAGCGATACACAAGTCAGGTTTGAACTTGAGCCTCTCTGCTTTTTCTTAGTCCTTGACCTATGCCCCCACCTCTTTCTTCTCCTTCCCAAATAGGCACACTTTTGTCTTACAGCAACCTGCTCTACAAAAAAGATCTGATAATTCGCTCATACTCCACTCTCCTTAATAAGAGACTCTGTCTCCAGAGGGTATTTGTGTTACACTGATGGAATGGAGAACTCTACAACTATGGAATTTTAGAGCATGGAACTGAGAAGGGCAGGGCTTGTTTGGGGCAGGGTTTCTTTTTCTTTTTGAGTAACTCTAGGATTTTTTTTTTTTTTTTTGTGCATAAGTGCTGGTGAAAAAGCCCGCTCTGGATGGCTGTGTCAAAAAAATTATTTTCAAGGGAAAAAAATCTGCTCCAGCTATGAGCTATGCCAAAAGTAAGATCACTTTTGGTCTTTCCTGTTCATCTCAAGGCCTCACAGGGTTGTGCAACCTGCGTAGTCAATGTCCTCTTCCGGGATGACTTCCCATCCAGTAGTCAGAGGAATGACTTAATAAAAATCCCAAGTCATCCTTCCTGTGTAGTGTTGTAAAAACCACATGTTGTTTTTTGTTTTGTTTTGCTTTCACAGCTTCATATTCTAGTTTACTCCAGCCATGCAGGCAGGCAGGCAGGCAGGCCTAGGAACCTGGATTTCACCAGGAACTGCCAAATAATTTTTACACAGGTAGTAAGGAGCCATATTCTATGAAGCATTGCTGTAGGTGTTTGCACACCACCTGGAGACTGTAAGAAAACCTCCACAGTACCATTTTATAATAATTCTACTATAATTCAGAATTAATCATGGGAAAAACATTCTTTGGCCAGTATAGTTCGTGGTCCTTGGATCCAAGAGTATTTTTCTCTATCATTGTAAATTTCACTTCTTTAAACACATCTGTGGATCTTCCAGACCATTAGATAGTGGGCTGGCCGCTGTCTGCTCCACAGACGATGCAAACTCTATCCCTCCTGACTGTGACTGCTACGTTTGCCCTGCGTCTCTCCCCTGGGAGGCAGAGAGGTAGCTTGTAGTATTTCTCATTTCAGAAGGACTTTGCAGAAACTCATATGGCTCAGACTTTTCAAATTAGCGTTCTCTCATTAAAGACTCTTGCTGACACTTTATGCAGTTGACTGGGATGATGTTCTCAGGCTCGCTGGAAAAACTTCTCTGCCAGGCCTTTCATAGGAAAAGGCTACAGTATTTAAAGACGATACAATTTCACAACCTTGAGAAGTCTAAAGAAATATCCACTGTACTACCACCGAAGATGGAAATTCCAATTGATCTTTTGGCATTAAGAGTACTTCAAAAAGTTTGCATAAAATGAAATTAAAGGTAGTTTATTTTGGTGTAAAAAGTTTTTGAAATCCATGTGTAGTTTTTTCTTGGTATGAATTTTAAATGAATTTTTCAACTTGTTATCCAAGGATTTCAAGATATTTTTTTTGAATGAAAATAAACTTTGAATTCAACTTTCCATGGGCTTTTTGAAGTACTGTCATAAATCAGTAGATAAATAATGAATACATATTTTCTATAGACATATTTATTATTATATTATTAATTTTTATTCCATAAGCACTTACGATCTTCATAAGAAAAGAGAACCCTGAGATACAAGAGCAGAAAAGACTGATGCTCATTGGGGTATAAGGCAAATAATGATCAAAAGAATATAAGAGTCTCTACTCTTTTTAAAAATTCCTCTTAAACCAGGCATCAAGGCTTATCTGAAAAAAAAATGTTTTATCCTCTCTTGATACACTGCTACAGATTTTTTTAAAGAAGGAAACATTGATGTATATCATCTTGTTTGAGAAGTGAATAGAATCAAGTAATCTTGAACCACACAGAAGTCACATGTTGTAAACCAGCAAATGTCAACATCTTTGACCTACAGAACAATATGGCTTTATCGGGTGATTGCAGAAAGGGCATTCAGATATTTGTGCCTTGGTTTGTGATTGCGTATGTGTGTGTGTGTGTGTGTGTGTGTGTGTGTGTAGCAGTGAGGGTGTTGTTTACCGTCACTTCTGTCTCTTTCTGTTAGTACCCTTACAACTAAAACAAGACATTTTATCAAATTTATGCACATTTCTAAATCAATAAGTTCTGAGACAGAAGGCTGTGAAATTGAAAATGCCCAGTTTAGGAGGAGCCTGCGTAGGGGCCAGGACAAAGGGAAAATATTCCTAAAAAACATCTCACGATGATCAAGAATTGCATTTATATCAGGTGCTCAGTGATCTATTTCACATTTACACCTGCTCCTGTACTCTTCCACAATTTTAGTTATCACCCACTGGATCTTTTTTTACCTTACACATCATTTTTTCACCTTTTATTGACACCAGCATCAGTTTAGTGTTTCATCATGTTTACTAAATAATATACTATACTAATATACTAATAAATAATATACTAATAAATAGTCCTTACCTGGCTCTGCCATGGACCGAGGTTCTAAAAGGAAAAAAAAAAGATTATAAACATTTATTTTGCCAAGAGGCTACATTCCATCAGTAACTTCTGATAGAATTTCATAGTCTATTGCCCATTTCAGGAGAATTTTGCTAAGTAAAATGACCTTAAAGAGGAAGACAAGGGGACCACGGAAGGCAACAAGAGAGCCACTAACTAAACATATGCCTGTACCTTGGCACACACCTGGCTTCCACTCGAGGTACATGGTCCTTAGGCAAAGAAAAGTTCCCGGGTCAGTTGGGACTCAGAAAATGACTTGCTGTTATTGGTACTTGTGCAGCTTTACCTAAAAACAGCTTGTGAAACTTGAGAGCTCCTTCTTCTCTTCAGGCTCTCATATTCTAAGAAAATGTCAGCTACACTTCCTGCTGTAAAGTTTCTAACCATCTATTGTCTCAGGATGGATGCTACTATTTTCAAAAGCATAGTGGCTTTATCTTAAAATCCCTGGGCTTTTCTGAAAATGCCCACTGCTGTGCAAAGCACAGCTGTTCTACTGTTGGAGGGTTTGATAAGTAGTTGTTGCATTTGGTTATCATCTTCTGTAGCTATTATTATTTTTTGAAGTTTGCACAGGTTAAACTGTATTCAATATCTGCTACAGCTGCTTCTATTGCTGCTGATTCATATTTCACACTGGTCCAAGTAGACTGTTTTATGATACAAACGAATGAACAAAAATGACATAAATTATTATAAAAGTATGTGAAGTAATGCATGTTATGTACAGCCGTTTTACAACATGCTGCACATAATAACTTATAATTTTGGTACTAAGCATATAAAAATGAAAGTCATACATATTATAGAAGAGTTGAAAAATACGCAAAATACAAAAGAAGGCAAAACAATGGACTCTAAACTTACCAAACTGACTCTACCAATAACTTAAAGTTCCTTGCCAAGTTTTTTTTATAATAGATTGTTCCTCATAGTTAATAAAAACACATTTCTTCTTTTTAAAAAATTACAATATATTTTGTGATTGAAATGGATCAGGGAGAAAGCCCTTGGAATGTGCCAAGGAAAGAAACAGCCAGTTGGATACATAAATCATTCTTCTTCTAAGAACAACAGCAACAAAACAGAACCAGAACACAGGAGAAAATAAAAATAAATGCAAAGACCTAAATATGAAAACCCACATTAAAAAAGAAAAGAAAAGCAAAGCCACATTCGTTAGTGAACTGCAGATCAAAATAAGTTCTTTCTGTATTTGGCCTTTAGATTTAGTGAAGATTTTACAAAATGTTTAACACCCACTGCTGGTGAAGGTGTGAAGTAAAACGCCTTCCCGTGTGTTGCTGGGGGTAGAATCAACGAGGCCGCTATGTCCCAGGTCAGCCCGGTCAGAGCTAGTTTATGCCAGGATTCCTGTGTAATTATTAATAGCACCCTATTTCACTCCCCCGAAGAGTCTCCATTTGGCTGATCGATTGTGTGGTTATTCTAAATTTAGCTTGACCTTTGGGGTGACATTTTGGCAATGTGTGTTAAAAGCCCCCAAAATGAATTTATAGGAGCAATTCTAGTGCTAGAAATTTCTTCTACAGTAATAACAATAGCTATTTACAATGAGTGGCTCTGTCGGCATGCACTGAAGTATATTCTGTAATGGTAAAAATTTGTGAAGGCATAAATGCAGTGAGAGAAGAGTTTGTTAAATATGGAATTAATATTACTTTTTGAAAGAAATTAGTTTGTTTTTGTGAAAACTATTCATGAGATTTTGAGTAAAAAAAAACAATTGACAAAAAAGTTAAGTCTTTTTATTTAAAAAAAAAGTGGAGAAATTTTTGGAAATATATATATACCAAAATATTAAGATGGTATAATATGGGGGGAACATGATTACAAAGGCTTTTGATTTTAGTTTTTGCCTTTATTTTAACTTGTTGTTAGTAAGTTACAAGGATGAACATAAGCAATCCACACATAAACATAGGCTATCAGAAAAGTAATTTTAAAGCACCAACTTACTTTTCTGTAAAATCCTAAAATCTGGAGAATCTTCTATCAAGGTCCCTTCTCGATACCACTCAACTTTAGGGGATGGGGCTCCCTTCACTCTGCATTCAAACACCACCAGCTGACCCTCAGAGGCTGACAAATTTTGTAACATCTACAATGAGAAAATTCATGTTAAAACCAAAACATGTCTACCTTTTTGGAATCTAGTCTCAGGGATGAGTTTTAGAAACATATGCCCTCTCCTGTCATGTGGATTTTCTCCAGGTCTGGCGTCTCCAGCAGCTTCGGTGCTATGGATGAATGTGGGGTCTATGTTTGGGGCTCCTCTCAGCTTCTGTCTCACTGTTTTCTCTTCCTTGCCGGAGGCAGGGCTAAAGCAATTTTTTAAAAAATAAATACCGGGTCAAACATTGGGAGTTGCTAATTGTCAGGACACAATCTCTGTTTCTGAAGTACACAAATAGAATTCAGTTTCCAGACATAAGCGCTAACTTAAAGAATTTGCCCTGTCAGGTGCATTTGGCGAGGGAGGAACATGGCATGGATCTGCTCTGTGGTGCAAGTGATTTTGTCTTCCTAGTGTTGCCACTAGTTGTTGATACTCGTCATGAAAATTGATTTTTTGCTGTTTTCTTATAGGATCTTTATAGTATAGCCTTGCTGATTTTTTGAGGAATTTAAACACTGACACTTTAAAAAAAAATTGTTGTCACACGTTGGAGTCCTATGTCATTGCAAAACATGGAATTTTTAAAAAAGACTTATTTTGTTTTTATTGGAAAGTCAGTTATACAGAGAGGAGGAGAGACAGAAAAGAAGATCTTCTCTCCATTGATTCACTCCCTAAGCACTCCAGCAACAGCTGGAGCTGAGCCAATCTAAAGCCAGGAGCCCAGAGCCCCTCTGGGTCTCCCACATGGGTGCAGGGTCCCAAGGCCCTGGGCCATCCTCGACTGCTTTCCCAGGCCACAAGCAGAAAGCTGGATGGGGAATGGGGCCGCCAGGGTTAGAACCAGCACCCGTGTGGGATCCTGGCATGTGCGAGGTGAGACTTTAGTCCTCGGCCACTGTGCCCGGCCCAAAACATGTAATTTTGTGAAGCAATCATGAAGTGCCTTCTCACACTTCCAAAATAAGAGATTCACAAAGCCACAACAAGCAATTCACAAATGTCATATATATTCTATAGTACATTCTACAGGAGACTAGAATGTACATTTTAATTTTGCAGCTCATTTCTCATTCATCATGATTTGTGTACTTGGCTTCACACATCCCTTTGTGCTGTGTGATTTCATCTGATTATGAAATTATCTTTTGGCAAGTGTGTGAACCTATTTTTATTTTTCACTTTGGCCCAAAGACTCTAGACATGGGAAGGTTGTGAGTAAACTTTGCAAATTGGTAAGTAACTATTGCTGCTATATTCTATGGTTATAACTTTGGGGTCTGCATTTAGGAAATACTGGCTCTTTCTTCAGAAAAGGGGAAAACCTATCATTTCATACCTTTGCCATTCGCTTCTAATAACTTAGTGATTTATTAGCTGTCCTTACCTGCACAATTTATGCTGTTTTACGCATGCTCCTACTGCATTTCTAGCATCCCAGGGAAGGAAGGAAGGAGGAGAACCATGTGACTAGCTGTCACACTTTTGCCAGACGTCTGTGTGAATTGATATTGTGATGGCCAGGAGGCACTGTAGTTTAATGTCAATGTTTTGTTCCATTTGCAGTTCCAAATTTGTTTATATCATTCAGAATGGGATTAACGTGTAGTAGTATCTGAATAAGAAATCTGATACAAAATTTGGTTATTCTTGGTTCACCCAAAACAACATTTAGTGAGAATAGAAAGTAGGAATCATCCGTGAGTCTTGGTTCTCTTGGTAAACTAAAAGCATGTCCTTCATCTGGCTCTGAGACAATTCTGTGCTCAGTTAGCAGCTTTGCTGGCTATTGAAAGCTTTCATGTGGTCAAATATCTTCCTACAATTGTAATATTATGGAATTTTAATTTCTTCCTGAAGCAGGCAAATTAGAAAATAAAACAAAAGGCATATTAGAAGGAATTAATAAATGAAATATAGCACATTTATTAAGTGGCCATAAGCAGAAAGGAGTCTGCCTCTATTTTTCTAGCCTGGTTTGCAGTTTATTTAGATGAACCAATTCTCAATGTAGGAAAGTTACACCAACCTACCTGCAGAAGGATCTCTTTGACATGCTGTGTTGTTCATGATTTAGACATACACTATGCACTGTTGTTACATCTTTGACACAGAAAACCAAGAGCTGGATTCCATCTGAGAGTCCAACCAGCATACCCGAGATGCCACAATGTGTGGAAGGGCCCACTAGTACCACTGAGGGGAGATGAAAGCTCATCCCAGTACGGCACATCGTCAATACTCAGAAAAGGAGAAGCCAGCAGTCACCTGTAATATACCTGGAAAGTCATGGCTAGGAGGACCGTGACAGTTTTATCTGCCAAAAGCCATGCTTTTTTGCAGTCTCATGATGTTAAGTTACCTCACATGGCTATACATCAGTTTCCAAGGCAATCATACCACCAAGATGTGGTAGAGATTGTCTCTACCACAGAAGCTTGTCCTAGGCGCTCACTCATGGCGTGGTATGTACAGGCTCCATCCTGCTCTTCTCTGCTTTGCTGAAGACGTGTGAGGTGAAGGAAGCACAGCCCGAGGAGCAAAGATTAAGTTAATTTTTACTAGGGGTTATAGATCTGGTTGAAAGTCACTGTAACCAAAGGTCTGCTACCTCCTGGAGTAGACAGGGTCCAAAGGGCAATTTTGGCCTGTGTTCATCACCAGCCTAGTTGTCTGTGATAGCAGTCCTTGTAGGGAGGCCTGACCGCCCTGGGCCTCAAGCAGCATCTACTCCATGGCCATTGCATGTTGCATGTTCCCTATTCTGAAGTGATGAAAACAAGAATTCCTTCTTAGTTGAAATAAAAGTTACTGAAATAAAAGGACTGTGTCGTGCACCAGAAATAAGAGTTGAAAAGACAGACTTTTGTAAAAGGCAGCTTCCCACCCACAGATTTAAAGCAGGGACAGCCTTGAGAAAGACCATCTCCCTTATTGGCTAAAACTCAGTGACAAAGGTTCACTTTGTTGTATTATTTGGTTTAAGTCCAGTTGATATGTTTGTGCCTGGGAAATACTGCGAGTTAATACGAGGAGTCTTCTAAAAGGCTATGGGAAATGCATCTGAGGAAAAAAACATGCATAGTTTTCAAAATTGGTTGCACCCAAAGTTATCTTTTATTCCCGTTTTCTCACAAACTTCTTGAAGTCCCATCACATGCAAGGCACTTCAGTCTGGTGTTGGATCAGAACAGGTTTTTCTGCTAATAAGAAGCTGTTGCCATTAGGGCCTTTGTGCAACATTGGTGCCACAGTAGTCTCTGGAAATGCTAGGCTGGGGAGAGGGGCCCATGCAGTCTCCAGAAATCTGGATCCGGCTACTGGCTCAGTTATTTCAGGGCTTCCTGACACTGCTATTATATAATGAAGCACTCTCCAGCTTCTCACTTCCCCTGCCCCCTTGCACTCTTCAAATTACTGCTGAAGCAGCTGGAGCCAGGGCTGCTGCAGCCTTGAGAGGTGGCCAGGACAGCTGCTGTGGGAGCAGGAGCCGCGATGGGAGTAAGATTCTAATTTGATCGTCTACCTCCCTTCAGACTCAAGATGTGTGAGTTCTGTCCCGCTCCACCATAAACTGAGTGGAAGTCTTTTTGATACTCCCTAGAGAGGCAAGAATGAATCTCTCCATCCATAAGCAAACAGGGCTAAAATAAGAAGGCTCTCCCCTCCGAGCTGAGCAGTGAATTCCTGTGTGGAATTCTGTAAGCTCTCACAGCTCTATCGCTTCTTGGCTGACAACTCTTCTATTCTTTTTCACTTTTTTAAAAAAGAGGATGCAATCACTTTGCACCACCAAAAAGGGAAAAGGAGTTCAACAAAACTATCCTTTATTCATTGCTTTTTTTAAAAAAAAGGCTTCTTGCCATAGTTGGCAAAGAAATGATTTGTTGGGCAGCATTAGAAAGTGAGTCAAGGGGGCTGGAATGCCCAAAGTGCCCAAAGAAGTAAATAGAGCAGGAATAACTTGGAAAATATATGCAAATGATCTGCTCATGGCCACGTGAAACCATCACAGTAGCTCTGACTCAGAAATTTGCTAATGACATTGGCAGTGACTATGACCTCAGTCTTGCCCTCACTGACAGAAACTAACGCAAGCACTCAGTTGCTGATAAGTCTCTCTGGAATCTGAGCTCTAACCTACCCTAGCACCCCAGGTTTGCACAGTCCTCACACCATTTAAGGAAGCAAAAGCATACATTCTGAGGACTGAGAACACCTCTCTGGCTTGGGTCTGTAGATTAAAGACTGCTTTCCCACCATGCAGTGCATGTTTTGGAGTTATTTTTTTTAACCTAACACAGGCTCATGGTTAATTCACTTGCTCATTTTTATTTATCAAAGACACATGTACCTGTCAGAGCATGTCATTAAAAGGAGGTCATTGCTGGCCGTTATGGCCACTTGGGGAGCAATCATTGGGTGGAAGATCTTCCTCACTGTCTCTCTTCCTCTCTGTATATCTGACTTTCCAGTAAAAAAAAAAATAAATCTTAAACAAAAAAGAGGTACTTGGAATCATCACACAAAAGTAGCCCATGAGAATCAAAGGTAAAGAGGAAGTATTAACGTCCCACTGGACTTCGACAAAAATAACTTTGGACCTGTTACTGCCTTTATGGACTCCTGTCTAGGGCTCAGAGATCACTTCCCAGGTGACCAGGAGAGAGAGAAGGACCTGGCGCTATCCGTGTGATTCATGCTGTGTATAGGTAACCTGTAGAGGCAGCAGCGCCTTCGGGAAGACTTAAAACTGACTGGAGATAAGGCCTTCTCTCAAGTGTCACCTGTCTCGCCGCACAGGTGGTGTTGAGAAAGGAAAATGGGCGGGGATTTCAGTTGGGTCTGGCTATAAACTGTTGAGTGGATTAGCTTGAAGAGTCATCAGTGTCTTCAAGGTGTGACAAATGACAATGTCTTGATTTCTGTCCATAAGCTCTGTTTTAAGGCTAGTGACTTAGCAGTGATGCTAAGAGACATATGCAGTTCTGTCAACTATTTTACACACACCCACCACTCCTCATTCAAGTCTTGTATCCACCAAGTCCCAGCACGTTGCTTCTCTGCTTCAAGTCTTTGTAAACAGCCAAGCTGACACCCCAAATACAGTTTCCAGGAAATGAACCTCTTTTAGCTAAGGTTTGCCTAACTCAAAGGGAGATGGATAGGCATGGCTCACTCTGAACTCCACACTGGGTTCTGGAACGCCACCTTGGATGAACTGATGTGGTAGAACTCCCCTGATCTGGGTGTCCTTTAAAATTCCATGCTCACTGGAGAAGACCTGTTTTGGTCATTTTGATTGACACCAGGATTCCTGAGCTTCAGTACAATTGACATTTAAAAAAATACCATTAGAATCTTTATTTTAGTTTATCTTTATTTATTTAAATTTATTTATTTATTTATTTAAATAGCAGGATGACAGAGAATGAGAGTGAGAGCTGCAACAGCTGGGTCTGGGCCAGGATGAAGTCAGGAGCCTGGAACTCAATCCAGGTCTTCCATGTGGGCCAAGTACCTGAATCACCAGCTGTTGTTGAGCAGGGTGCATGTGAGCAGGACACTAGACTGGAAGCAGAGGGCAGGACTCAATCTTGGGCACTCTGATATGGGGGGTGGGCAGTTGTCCCAAATGATAGTTGAACATGTTGTGCCACATGTCCACCTCTTCACTGATATTTTGAGCTAGACAATTCATTGTTGTGGGGGCTGTCATTCTATACACTGTAGGATGTTTCACAGCATCTCCGGATGCAGGGAAAACAGCCCTCTGTTGTGGCTGTCACAACTAAAAATATCTCCAGACATTTGCAATGAACCCTTAGGGAGCAATTTTTTTTTCAGCTTCAACGTTTATGGTAGACAAAACACTCCTTTTATTTTATAGTAATGCAATATGTATAGGATCTAGATTCATTGAAGATTCTATGTGTGGAGAGATTCCTCCATTTGCTTTCCATTTTACAGAAGGAACCAGAGATAGTAGTAGTGTTGGCTCAGTGCCCTTCCACTAGACCAGCTTCTCTCCTCTTTTCTCTCTCTCACTAAGGAGTCTTGGGCAATTTCCTTGCCTTCTGTGGGCCTCTGTCCTATCTGTAGTAAGCAGTAAGTCTTGATGCTCCTAAAGCCTTGACAGCTCCAGGATTCTCCAAGGAGAGGGCTAGTGGGCAACAGGGAGAGGACAATCACTGAGGATGAGGGCTGAGGTAGGGCCCTAAGGACTAGAAAGCTGCAGCACCGTGGGGGTGGGGATGCAAGGTGTCCTTAATTGGCCTAGCTGCCATCCCTCATCCCTGGTTCCTAGTGTAGGAGCTCAGGGCCTTTGCCCACAAGGTGCCACACTAGGAAGGAGGAATGGTACTTCAGTCCAGAAGATACAATAGGGCAGCAGACAGTAGATGTGCTATAAGGGACCCAAGGACTGGGCCCAGAGAGGAATTTCATGACCTAAGGCAAGCCTTCAGGAAAAGCCCATGAAAGCATCATGACTTGGAGAAAAAAAAGTCTAATCCGTGAGTCCATCATAGACAAAGCAATACTTAGCATTCATGTAACAGCAAGCAGATAGAAAGTACCCCCGACTTCCAGGCCCTGTTCTAAGTGCCTCACAGTTGAAACTTACAACAGTATCATGGGGTAGGTACAGTTTATGGACCACATTTTTTCGATGGGAAAGAGGAGGCAGAGAAGTGCTCTAATGAACTCATGCCATAAGGCTAGTAAATGGTGGTAAGAGGGTCTGAATTTAAGCCATGTGGGTTAATCACTACACAGTGGTGCCTCTCTCATGCACCCTAGTGAGAGTGGTGAAGAGTACAGGCCTCTGAGTCAGGCAGTCCCAGCTTTGTAATGTGCAAGATGGGGGTAAAGATGCCCAAGCAGAGGATTGCTGTGAGCCTAGAGCTTACTGCATCCTACAAATCTCTACCCAAGGCTGAAGTACGGAAAGTGCTGGGGTTTGTGATCTTCATCTCTCACTGGGCAAACCCTGGTCTTCTCATAGCCTTTCTCCCTTCCTCTGACAGGTGCAACAGGGGACTCTGTGGGATCTATAGCTCAGGGTCTCAGGATAGGGACAAAATGAATCAGGACTGAAAACCATCAAAGTGTATTTCTGAAAGAATAAAATCTCTTTGGCCCTAAATTAGCCTTTTCTACAAACAATAGACTATAAACCCAATATGGATTTTACTTATTTTGTCTTCTTAATACCAAAGAAATCTAGTGTCAGTGTTTCACCTTTAATCTTGCTGTCTTGGACAGCATCAAAGCACAGTGCACACAATACAAGGGAAAGAACAATGAATTAAAGTGGGAGAACTTCCAGTTCTGATTCGGCCACTCACCAGCCCTCTGGCCTTGGCTAAATTGCTCACTCTCTCTGGCCTCCCTTGGCTTTCTTATTTGCAAGTTAAGGTACCTGACTGAATTTTCCAGTTCTTAATAGGCAGGTTCTGAGATTCTGGATTTGATCCTCCTGTAATAATTGATACCACCGAATGGAAAACAAAAGCTCCTTGTCTTGGGGTGAGGTTCTATGTTCCTTTCCTGGTATATTTTACTCCCTTTCCTTGAGTGTCAGAAACTGCTCCTGCAACGGGGTCTTCTGAAAGTCCAAAGAAACCTTGGGTGAAGCAAGTGGTTAGATTCTTGGCACTGGACCTGCAAATTTGGTTCCTGGGTTTAGCCAATGGGAATGGCCACCAGGATCAGTGTGCTGACTGGGGAAGACATAGCTCTCATCATAAAACTGTTACCAGCAACCTAGAACTTGAATTGTAACCACATCGCTTCCCCCAAACCAAAACTAACAGCAACAACAAACTCCAAACCTTAAGTTGTCCCTATTTGATGTCTAAATCCTAAAATAAAATGATTAAATCACAGATCTTGCAATTGGGTGCTGTAGCAACTTTAAAGCCATAATGGAAAGGGATGGGGTGCTTGGTCCAGTGGCTAAAACACTCCTTGGGACAGCAACATCCCATTTTAGATCACTAGGGTTTGAGGCCCGGCTCTAATCCTAATCTCAATTCCAGTTTCCTGCTAATGCATGCAAGTGGAAGGGAGCAAGTGATGGCTTGAGTGGTTGAGTCCCTGACACCCATGTGGGAGACATGGATTGTGTTTCCATCGCATGGCTTTGGTCCAACTCAGCTCTTTGCTGTTGCAGGCATTTGAGGAGGGAACCATCAGATAGGAACTCTCTTTCTGGCTTTCCTTCCCTACCTTCCTATCTCCCTCTCTCCTCCCTCTCTCCTTCCCTCACCAACCCTACATTTCAAATTAAAAAAATCTAAAATAAAAATGAAAGCCTTGGCAGAAAGAAGTAATATTTTGATTACCTTTGTAAACACAGGAGCTGCGATGATAGGTTTCCCATCCAGTCCTTGCAAATAGTTGGTAGGGCTCTGACACTGTTCAAAGGAAACCAACAAGATTCATTGCCAGTCAAATTATTAGGTGGGTAAGAAGATAAAATAAATCTACAGAACTTTAGGAATGAAATTAATCTCAAACCAAAAGACAGATGTTTACTAAGCTAGTGTGTCAGAGACATCAAATTTTAGACTGTACTAATTGAATTTCTTTCTAGGTCAGTGTGGTTCTAAAATATGCTCCCTTTCCTACCCTAGCTTCTCACTTATAGAGCTGAAGAGGCTCATAAAACCTCTGGGGCTGCCAAGATCACAGTTTGAAAACCAGTAGATTAGAAATAAAACTTGATTTCTCTGTATGACCACATGGGTTAGATAAATAACTTTGAATTTAAAAAATTGAAAATCAGTATATTTCAATGTAGATATTACTAACATTATAATGACAACATGTTATTAACATAGTTAAATCATAATTTTATATGTCTTAAAATATTTGCATTCATGTATATCCTTTTAAATGCATGGGGGATTTCTGGAACTATCTTGCAACAAATTGCTAATAGGAGTAATTTGAGGCAAGAGGAGGAGCAGGCACAAGGGTGAGGGGCAGAATCCTGACTACGATTTTTCCTGAATATATTTCCAGTCTCTGTGAATGTTTTCAAAGTAGACAGATATTGTTATCAGCTTAGCGGGTAAGACCCTTCACTATTCTCTAAATAACTTCATGCTTGTACTAGCTCAGAAATTAGGATGTTTTGCAGCTTTCCACAATTGAATGTTGTGTTAAAGAGTGTCCTGGGCCAGTCTATGAGCTTACTACATATGAAATTAGTACTTTTTATAAAACTGAGATATCAAAGATAATTTTTAAAGAGCTTGAAATTTCCCCAAGCTGGAGAATCATAAGGTGAGGGGAATTGCCGCTCTCACACTGGCAGTATAGAAAGCTTATCATGAAGAAGTTATTGCATTAGGGGAAACTATGACCATGCTGATGGTCACAGCACAGCTCATGACATTTGGGATTCACAAGCAGGCATTGAATACAGTGGTTAAGGTTTGCTACTTGGGAAACCTGTATCCCCAGAGTGCCTGGGTACAAGTCCCAGCTCCACTCCCAATTCCAGCTTTCTGTTCATACACACTGTAAGAAGCAGTGGTTCTGCTAGTCACATGGGAGACTTGTTGTTCTAGGCTCCTGGCTTCAGCCTAGCCCAGCCCTGGATCTTGATGTGGAGTAAACTAGTAGATGGAAGATGTCTGTTTTTTAAAAAATTATTATTATTGTTAATTATGTTGCATTATGTGACACAGATTCATAGGCTCTGGGATTCTCCCATCCTCTCCCCATGCCCTTCCCCCCTTGGTGGATTCCTCCACCTAGTTGCAGTATTACAGTTCAAATTAAGTCAAGATTCTTTTGTTACAATCATATACCAAGCATAGAGTCCAACATCTTATTGTCCAGATAAGTTCAACAGTTTCTTGGGGAGACCTTCTCTGGTCTGAAGGTAGAGCTGGCAGAATATCGTCCCGATCAATTAGAAGCTCCAGCACAACATCAACAGCAATTTACAACAGAACATGTCTGTTTAACTGTCTGTTTCTTTCTACCTCCCATAAATAAAAAAGTTTAAAAATTAAAAAAAGTGGTTTCTGAAAGGCTGCAATGGCCAGAGATGTACCAGGCTGAAGCCAGGAGCCTGGAACCTCTTCTGGATCTCCCACATGGGGGTGGGACCAAAGCACTTGGACCATCTTCTGCTGCTTTCCCTGGAACATCAACAGGTAGCTGGATTGGAAGCAGAATAACTGGGACTTGAACCAGTGCCCGTACAAGATAGTGACATTGCAGATAGAGGCTTAACGTGTTATATCCCAACGCCAACCCCTTATTTAGATTCTTATACCTGTTGGATGGTTGACACATTGGACTGAGTTACCAAATTCTGGGCTTGGGACACTGCTGGAGGAATGGCTGCAGAGGTAGTGGGAGGGGATGATACCTCATTTGGCTTCTGGAACCTGAGAAATGATTAAAATCAAGATTATAAAACAGAACTAAGAATGAATATGAAAATTCAGCAAAGCTAGCAACTTTGTCATGCTTACAGTTGGGGGTAATAAAGTCTGTCTTTGAGGATAGTCTCCAAACATTTACTGAGAGCTCTACATTTCCTGGTTTAGTTGCTGTCCATGTACAGGAGAGAGAAGCAGGTGGCAGGGTGAGGTGGGGGAGTCAGGTACTAAAACATATTGACAACGCACTGAGATCCGGGACAAGTGCTGTGACGGAAGTCAAGATAATTTCTCAAGCGTTGTTTGCTGTTGCACCGTGTTTCCTTTCCCTTTCTCATTTTAAGTAAGAAACTGGGCCTTGCAAATCTTGACTTGTGGAATTTCTGGCCCAGCCAAAGGTAGAAACAGCCTGAAGTCAGCAAATTCTTTAAGATGGCAGAAATTAAAGAGATCATAGGAAGGGTAAGAGAACCAGGCAGAACCAGGAACATCTGTTTGAGAAAAGGTCTGGTTATTTTAGTGTCAGTGCAGAGAGGAGAAAGGTTTGTGGCTGTGTCCAGAAAACAGGATGAGGGAGGAGCCGAACCCAGAGGTGATGGCAACTTGTTTGGGGACAGGGCCTCCAGCCTTGCTCACAGGATCAGAACTCAAGAAGGAAAGGAAGCAACATGCACTGGACTTGAAGGGAATTTGAGATCTGATACACCTAGTAGATGGCCAGTGACAGAGGGCTCCCCTGAATGTGGTGTGGCTGACCCCTCTCTGTCTCACCTTCTGGTCTCTAACATGGAAAATCACTCATTTTTACTCTGTAGGGTTTCTGGGAGGGCAAAATGAGATCATTCACGTCAGGTGCTCAGAATGGAGCTTGCTCCTGCACTGTTCTCTCCATACCTCCCGGGTCTCTGCACGATAGTGAAGGGTAGAGGGGCCACTCCGTGACACACTGTATTTCTCCCCAACCAAACAGGATGGGGCTCAAAGGCAGAACTGCATCATGATGCCAAACGTATCAGGGTTCGCAAAGCATGTTTTCCTTGACAGGGATCCCTGCTCTCATTACATGGCTACATCGGATGGAAGCCAAATCTCCAACCTTCCTTGCAGCAGGGTATGGCCACATCACTACTTCTGGACCTGGGATATAAGGGAGGGTGAGCCATGAGTGTTAAGACAGAGGGCATTAAAAGGGACATTGGCACATCCTTCATTTCTTCCCATCTCATAATAAGAAGTTGAGGGCTACATCTTAGTATGAGGTAATGCAGATAGTGGCAACAGATTGGAACCTAGTGGAATATACAGCTGTTTCACAAAACAAATCTAGACTCTTACATGAATAGGAAATAAAAGTCTCGTTTAAATCACAGCTCATTTGAGTTGATTAGGCACAACAGAAGCTACATTATAACAACTATAAGTAGATTTAAAGGAAATAAATTAGAGGGTTTTTTTTTGGCTTAATTACATTTATATATCATCATCCATCCCCACCAGGTTTGTAATGCATTATGGGAGCTTTGAGTGAAGAGTGTGCAATAGAGAGAACATTTAGGCTATGTTTTGAAGGATAAATAGGAGTTTGACAGGCAAAGAAGGAGACAGGGTGTTCCTAGCACAGCAGACAGCTTGAATGAAGGTGAAAATGAATCACAAATCCGTGGAAAGTAGTGAGCAGTGTAGACTGCCTGAGGTGGGGAATGGTAAAGGGGACAGGAAGGCTGGGTGGATACTCTACTGAACAAGGTTTTGTACGTAGGCTGTGCTGAGATTAAAAAAAAAAAAGGCTGATTCATGTTTGATTTTGCCTTGGCATAAACATCTTTTTTTTATGTTTTATGTCAGCCAAGTCATAGGATCAGAGTGATCTCAGAAAATAAGAAGAGCGGAACAGTCTAGAGAGGATAGGAAGGCCTCTGAGGAGATGCTTGCTCTAAAAGGAAAGAAGAAAGAGCTGAACTGAGGCCAGGAGAAGGACAGAGCAGGGAGCAAAGGAGAAATCATTGCTCTGGTGATGGTTGTCCCATCCGAACAAGAGCTGAAAACAAGTCTTGTCTCCAAAGTAGCCACATGTAGGAACTTGGAAGAAGCAGACATTATGCCTGTGCTTCATGAGCTTTCCCTCCGGAGGGGAGGCCAGAACATGCAAACACAGTGACGGCTACTCCCAGATCCTGCTGCTGTGGCAGTTGAACACAGGGAACAGCTACTCTATGTTCAGCTCCCACGCCTTCTGGGAAGTCGGGGATGCCTGCAAGACCCTTTCTCCCTTGTTTTGGGGGTGTCACCTACTGCTCTTTGAAGAGCCAGCTTCCTCCCACCCAATGAATAGTTGTTTGTGCGAAGTGCCACACATCAATGGTCAGAACTTGTTACTCTATATTACTCTTACTTTCTGCATGCCTGGCCTATGCTTCTTGCAGTACTGGATTTATGCATTTCTTTTTACTAGAGTGTGAGCCTCTTAAAGGCAGGAAGTGTCTGATTTTTCCAATGAAGTGGTGGGTTTAGAGCAGTTCCTGGGCTGAGCAGTTGTTAGTCAATGGTTACAAAAAATGACAAAATGATGAAAACAACTTGCTCAGTGTTCAGCACAAATGGTTATGACTTTCTCAGGTTATTCATTTATATCTATATACATATGAAATTATAATATTATATTAAGTAACAGCAAATAATCTAAATTATAACTACCTATGTACATTAATACAAAATTTAGGAGCACCAGGTTCTTGGGAGTACTCTTATTTAGCCAGAAAGTATCAATTTTCTAAACCTCTGGATTATTTGTTTTTCATCTAGCCATGAGTATGATATCTCATAGTAAATTCTTCATTTCTAAGGATTGTAAACCTTTACATTAGTCTGCTAGGTAAGACTTTAATTAAACAAGCAGAATCTTTTCCAGATGGATTCAATTTTAACTTTTTTGAGATAGTACCCTAAAACTACTATCTTCAACTTTTAGCAACCAACTAATAGCTTTCTCACAATTTGAGGATGCTGAGGTTGTAAGAAAATGAGAATTACCGATTCATCTCTTCCTTGTGAGGGTCCCCTTCTGAGTCAGAAGAAGAAACTCCTGAAAATATAAAAACAAGACATGAATGTTTCAAGATGATAACTTGAAGACCTGTGGAGTTACAGACTTAAAAGTGAATTCAGTGATTGCCACACAAACTCACAAACTCACGCTTTATAAATGAGTAAATCAACTCTAAGAAGTCGATGAAACTGCTCAAGGTCATGGGGCTAGTTCACAGTGGAGCTTAAATTAGCCAACTTGACTTCTCAATGTTCTTGCTATAATAAAACACCTGCTAATGCCTTTGGACTAGCCAAGCAGCCTTTGCAGACCCTCTCTGGTATTTCTAAGTCCTCTTGCTCTTGACCTACACAGATTGAATAAAAGGAAGGGATGACATTGGATTCCAGACATTGTAGGTGTAGGTGGTTGCCCTTCCGTCCTGTCCTGGTACTACTAAGTCATACCACATCTTGGGAGTGAGAGTGTTTGAAGTCCTGTTGTCATAAAGGAAAAAAAAAAATCAGCCATCCAATCTCAGTACTGTTAGCAGAGCCTTGATTCCGGATTTACTTCTCAAGATAGTGAATTCCAGGAAGAGATAATAGAGCTAAATTGGGAGGTATGTATTGCATTCCAAAAATTTGAGGCTAAAAACATATGGTACATTTCTTCTCATTTGATTAGTCCATAAATGCTTATCATTTATTGGAATTAGAATTATGTAAGGTATTGGAGACAAAAGCATAAGATAATCCTGATTTTATAAGCTAGATGGTAAATCAGCACTTACGCATTTATAATAGTGTGTAAGGGCTAAAACCCAAGGTGAATCTAAGGTATTTTAGCTGAAAAGCAATCCTGGGAGTCCAGGTAAGTCTGCTCAGAGGAGTGGGTATCTGAATCTCCCAGCCATGTGGCTGTGGCTGGGAGAAGCCGTATTGAGCCAGGCTTCCTGCTGGGGATCCTAGTGCCCCGTCCACCACTGTCAAGCAGTGGATGAATCCTGGTCTTATGGACAGCCATAGTGACAACCAGTTTCTGCTGGCTGCCTGGTATCAAGCTCTGGGGTCTTGGGGCTCTGGAATTACTGCCTAGGGACATCCATTGATAAGGCCACAATATGTGTAGGTGAGGAATGAATCCTGAGGGACACTCAATGATAGGGCCACTTTACTTGCAGGTAAGTGAGGGGACTGAGACCTGGTGGTTTGGAGGGGAGGGACCATAAGACCTGTATGGGTCAGACTGATACACCCAGCCCATGGGGAATCCTGAGATGGGCTTGTTAGCATGGAACATTGCTGACTAACACATGCTAGTCCATGTAAAAGCTAGGGCTAGGGGCCTGTCTAGCAGGAATAGGTTCCAGAATCTGACTATTAGAACAGGGGATGTGTCACATTAGGCAGAGCCATGACACTAATCAACATGTGAGAGAACCAGGTTTGGGGGTAGATTCTGTGGGGGATTTGTGGGCCAAATCCTGCAGAAATACAAGTCTCGCTGGTTAGCTCAAGAGTTGGGGTAATGATGGGCTGAGCTAAGTGTGACCATGGAACTGCCAATACTCATGAGTACAGGAACCGAGAATAGTCTGGCCAGGTCCAGGCTGTAGCACCCATATGTGCATTGTACTACAGGGTGTGGAACCAACCAGTCCATAACATTCACCAGCTCATACTAGGTCAAGATAGAGGAACAAACTAAGCCAGGCAAGGGCCTAGCACTCACTGGCATGCGTGAGATTTGGGCTTGGAGTGTGTCAAGTGGAGGAACTTGGGAAACTCCCCTTGTGGCTCATAGCTCCCATTAGTGAACACGAGGTCAAGGCCTTGGAATTGGGCAATCTGGGCAAGGTAGCTCCAGCTGTTGGCTAATGTGTGGGTTGGTTTTTCAAGAGGGAAGACCAGGCAGAGCCAAGCAAACTTTAGCTCACTAGCAAGTGCAGAAAACAGACTGGAGCTCAGGTCATGCTGGGCTAGGCTGTCACATCTGCCAGTTTGCATAAGTCAGGGATCAGAGCAGACTGAGCAGGGCCAGGTTCCAGCACCCACCAGTGAGAGTTGGGACTGGGGCAGGCTGGATCAGACCAGGATACATCATCAAAAGGCAAAGGCAAAGACAGGTGAGGGGCTATGCCAAACTGGGTCAGAGCAATCACTGGCAGGCGCAAGATCTGTGGCTGGGAACAGGCCTGGTTGGGGAATGAAGGGGATGACCTGGCTGGGTTGTGGTTCCCATTGGTGATTGTGAATGTCAGAGTGGGGGCTGATGTCTAGTCTGGGCATGGCTACAGTGTCCCTCGGCATAAGTGTGGGTTGGGTCTGGGGTGCGCTGGCCTGGGCTCCATTTCAGCATCCACTGGTGATCATAAGAACCAGGGTGGGTATAGGACAGGTTAGGCTTGGTCCCTGTCCCTGTCGAGCCATGTGTGAGCTGTGTCTGGATGTGGTCCAGACTTGGCTGGGCTGTAATACCCAAGAGTAAAAAAACAGAATGGGTGAATGCCAGTCAGGAAAGGCCATTGTTCCTGCTAGGATAGGAGGTGGACTAAGTAGGGCTGGCCCATGGGCCCACTGGTGTGTGTGAGATCTGGTATTGTGAGAGGTTGGGATGGAGGAGCTTGGGCAATTCCTCTTTTGGGACACAGTCCCTGCATATGAGTGCAAGAACCATGATAGGGAACAGCCTGGACCAGGCCAGGGAATAATACCCACTGGCATACATTTGGCACAGACTGGGCCAGTTCATATCACCTGCTTGCAAATCTGAGCACCAGAATGGAATATGGGTCGGGCCAAACTGGGTCACAACACAAATCAGCTCACATGAGGGCTGGGACTGTTGGCCAGCTGGGCTGGGCTAAGCTGTAGCCCCAACTAGCATGAGTTGCAATTGGGGGTGGGCTGGGCCCAGCGAGGCTACAGCACCCACCGGCAAATGTTGAGGAGAGCTTGGCCATGCCAGACTGGGCCACAGCATCCAACCAGCACATGTGAGACCCAGCGGGGACGGGGCGAATCCGGTAGGGGGAATGTGGAGGGCTCACCTACTGGATCACCACTCCCACCAGAGAGTGTGAATTGGATGGGGGCAAATCAGGCTGGGCAGGGCTACAACAGCTATTGTCTTCATGTGGGCTAGATCAGGGGAAAGTCTGGCTGGGTTGACTGTTTCTAGTGGTGCATGCATAACTCAGAGTTAGTGTGGGTTGGTTGGGCTTTGCCGCAGCATCAGCTGGCAGATGCAGGCATGGGGGGCAAATTCTGTCAAGTTAAACTGCAGAACCACCTGGAGAGCGTAAGATCCATGAGTGAGAGTGGGCGCAGTAGGGAAACAGTGGGCACCTCCCTCTTGGGTAGCCACTCTGACTGGTGAGCATGAGAACCAGGACTGGGGAAGGCATGGCTTGGTAGAGAGTGGCGCCTGCCAGCATGTGTGTGGGCTTGATAGTGGGGTTGGTTGTGTTGAAGTAATCTTCAGTGCCCATTGACATGTATGAGAGCTAAATGGGATGTGGGACAGATTGGACCAGTCTGCTGCACATACTGTCAAGCATGGGAACCAGGGCAGGGGCAGGCCTGGTGGGAGTTACTGTGGGTTGCTCTGACTAGGCTGCAGCTCCCACTAGTTTACATGAAGGTCAAGTATGTGGTGGGTAGGATTGGGCTGGGGTGTAACACCCATTGGTTTGTGTAAAAGACAGGGCTGGAGACAGAACTGACCCAGCAATTGAAATCACCAGCATGTGCATAGCTGATTGGGGTGATGGACTGAGCCAGACCCTGTATTGGCAAGCACACAAAAGAATCAGGTCTGGGATGGCCTCAGATGAGGTTTCTATGGGGATCCCCCCAATTGAATTGCTGGACTCAAAACCCCTATCATGGAGGAAATTGCATGTTCCATGGTCTGACTGTGGAGTGCATGTGTCAGAGCTGGGCCTCCTCAGTGGCTTGGACAGAGCAGTAAACAGTATATCCAGGTGCACATGGAGGATATGGCAGTACATTGGAGTAAAGGACACTTGGTACTACAGCAGAGGATAAAGGACAGAACAAATCAATCAACTACCCCAGCCAAGTATTGGCAGTGCATAATTGGGCAAATGGAGACTCTAAGGTGGACTATGTCAACCAGTGGATGCTGGAAAATTTTCATCATGCTTGGAGTGGCGAGATCGGCAGTAATTCGGTACTGCTGAACTATTGAAACCTCATGAGCAGGACCCTCACAGCATGCCCCACATTGGGGACGCTGAGGTGGTGTCGGGTGGCTGCCCTCCATCCCAGGGTGCAGAGGCATTTGGGAGGCTGGGTGTGGCTTCTCTCCCTGTCTCTCCTCTTCCCCCAGACACAGGAAGGAAAAAAAGAGAATGTAGAAATGGTGATCTCACCCACCTTCCTTTAGCCCTTGACCCTAATTACCCTAATCAACTCTGTAAAAATCATCAAAAATAATTAATAATTAAAAAAAGAAAAACAGTCCTAAAGAATACTCCCAGAAAAACTCAGAGGATAATAAAATATGGACAAAATTTTAGACAGATAGAAAATAAACATAAGCTAATTTCTTCTCTAAAATCCATCTTGTAAGTGTGGTACTACCGGATTCCTTTCCCAAGCTCCCAGCCATCTCTGTGCATTTACCAGCAGCCAGAATGATGCTGCTAGAAGCGAAGTCAGATTATGTCATGTCTGTGCTCAGAACCCACGAGAATGTCTTGGTTATCTGTGTTCTGATTAGATCATTGTAAAACTTTTCTTCCCGAGGGAGCCAAGACATTCTGGTCGGTTCTGAGCATAACCAAAATTCAGTTGGTATACTCACCTGCCTCTGTCCGACCTACACCCTGCTCAAACGTCACACCTCATCTCCTGTTGTAATCTTCCTTGCTTGGTCCATTCTGGAAACACTGGTTCATGTCTGTGCCTTAAGACAAGGATTCTCCCTGCTCAAGATGACTGAATCTGACCACTCTTTTTGACCAGAGAACTTTTTCCTTGAATACCCTCGTGGCTCACTCCCTTACTACATCCCAGGATTCACTGAAATGCTGTCTGGTCCATGGGGTCTTCCTTGATCACTCTACCTAAAGTTACCACTACCACACACATATGTATTCACATGTGGGAGGAATGCATTTTCTATCCTTGTCTCTCCCTTACTGTTTCTTCCATAGTGTTTTTATGCACTATCTTGTATCCTGTTTCTTTTCTGTCTCTTCTACAATGTGAATTCCTCAGTGCATGAATCTAGGTATTTTTGTCTGTTTGATTTCCTGCTCTCTAACCCCACTGCCTAGGGGAGTGAGGGTCTGGCAGATATTGACATAATATAACTAGATGTCTTACTAGTAAGGGTCATGTTCCTTGTAAGTGTCATGGAGCATTTCATTTTACCTTCTATATAAATCTCAGCAGAAGTGGAATCCGTCCCATAGATATTAGAAGCAAAGCAGGAATAGCGCCCTGTGTCCTCTTCAAAGGCTTCAGCAATGGTCAACGAGTGTAGATTTCCTGCCTGGACAATGTGGATATCTGGGGAGTTTTCAAGCTCCTTGCCTTCGCAGTACCACCTGCAAGGAAGGAAATACAGTCATTGGTCACAACTAAAACTGCAGGCTTAAAGTAAGTATCTCTAGATGCTTCCTAAAAAGGAAACCATGACAATTCAACCAGTTAGAACATTATCTGTTGTTTTATTATCAGATTGTAAAAATTGTAATAGTTGATAGTATTCAAACTGCACTGACAGTCAACTCGGGAAAGGCCTGGGACCAAACCCTATCTGTTTCTCTTCCATCTTCCTCTTGACACACCAGGAAGGGAGTAGAGGCCAACCCAAGTTCTTAAATCCTTGCCACTCAAGTGGAGGACACAGATACAATTTCTGGCTCCCGGTTTTAGGTTGGCCCAGTTCCAGTTGTTTCAAGCATTTAAATAGTGAACCAGTGGATGGACAATTCCCCTAACCTCTTCCCTCTCTTTATACCTCTCTTTGTCTTTGTTCTACCTTTCAAATAATAGCAATAATGATAATGATAATTGAGGAGGATGCAATTGAGTGAAGAGGGATGAAAAAGCAAGTACAGAAACCATAACTCCAACACTCCCACTTGTGGGACTCTGTTATACAGACACACCTACATACATGCAAAATAACAAACATACTGCCTTTATCATTGGCTGCTCATTGAAATAGCAAAAGATGGGACACAATTCAGATGTTCCTCATTAGGAGACTGATACAGTAAACTGTAGTAAAGCCAAAAGGGATGAGAAAGTTTCCACTCAGGGTCTCGGAGGGAACACGGCGCTGGAGACACCTGGCTTTCGGACTTCTTGCTTCCACAACTGTGTGACAATGGATTTCTGTTGTTTTAAGCCAACCAGTCTGTGGTAATTTGTTACAGCTTTGCTAGGAAACAGACACAACGGGTGAAAGTAAGATATACTCATGCTGTCTGCATTTGCAAAAAGAAAATTGATAGATAAGGGCAGGCAGGAGTAAGATATCTCAGCCTACCTCTTTATGGTTTCATTTTGAAGACAGCAATTATTAATCAACATAATGAAAACTAATTAACTGGGAAGGTATCACAAATATCAAATGTCAAAAAACAAGGAGGCCTGCTGTTGGCTAATCTTAACTGTGCTGTCAGGCCTAACTGCTCAGTTTTTTTAGTGCGACCAACTATGAAGCAAATTTCTGGAGGACATTTAAGAAAATCCATGGGCCAGTGCAGAGGAATATCACACTAATTCACTGCCTACAGTGTGAGCATCACGTCTGGGTGACAGCTTGAGTCCTGGCTGCTTTGCTTCTGATCCAGCTCCCTGTAATGGCCCAGAGAAGCAGTGGAAGATGACCCATGGACGTGGACCACTCCAACCACACAGGAGAATGAGCAGAGGCTCTTGACTCCTGGCTTTTGACTGGCCTAGCTCTGATCGTTGCAGTCATCTGAGGAAGTGAACCAGTGCATGGAAGATCTCTCTCTCTCTCTCTTTCTTTCTTTAACTCCAACTTTCAAGTAACATAAATAAATCTTAAAAACAAAGCAACCATCAAATTATTTCCCAACAGAACAGCTTCATTTGAAAAAAACCCTGTGCTATGTCATGTACAAGTTGATTATATATTGTCTTCTATTAGTCTCTCTTTTGAAAGTTTATCTCACCAGTATCACTAGATTGTCCATTCTTTGGAGGCAGAGAGTCCCTTTTATAAACTTGTACAGTGTCCACAACATCTAACACAATTTTCTTTTTCTCCAAAGACTTATTTTATTAATTTAGAAGAGTTAGAGAGGGAGAGACAAAGAAAGATAAGGATCTTCCATCTGCTGGTTCACTCCCCAAATGGCTGGAGCAGTTAGAGCAGGACCAAAGTGATGTAAGGAACCAGGAGCTTCCTCTGCATGTCCTACACAGTCAGAAGTCCAAGCACCAGGGCAATTGGCTGCTGCTCTCCCAGGCACATTAGCAGGAAATGCAGGAGCTGGGACTTGAACCAGTGTCCACATGGGATACTGGCATTGCAGGTGGCAGCTTACCTCATTAGGCTATAGTGCTGATCCTGCAATTTTCTACATATGTATGGCATCCAAATGTGCCTTTTCAACCTTGATTTTTGGATTCCATCTCCCAGCCTTCTTCCCTTCCCTGTGTTCTATCTACTTTGATCTTCTTTCTATTCTGTGAACACCTTAAGCTTTTCTTCACATTGGGATTGCATTGTACTTCTTGAAAACCTCTTCCCCAGATGTTTACAAAGAGAATTGTCAACTCAAATGTTGGATCCTTAGAGAGGCCTCCTCTCCTTCCTAAGATAACCCTTTTCCCTTAGTTATACTTGTGTGCTGTTATTGTCTTCACAATACTTAATCCTACCTGAAATTACACATTTGTTGACTTTGTAGTGGTTTGCTCCCCTCACCACATGGTATAGTCCATGAAAAAACCCTGTCCACTCTGACAACTTCATGACCTACTACAGTGCCCCGGTCCATGGTTAGTACTTAGAAAATAACGTGTCTGATGGACTTGTTAAAAGAGCAAAGCATGGGGAAAAAGATAATTTGTATTTTACAAATACTAATTTAGTTCGTCAAATTTTGTGCTGCCTTTGATTTCCATTGTAGCCATAGAAGTACATGAAGCTGCTGAAACGGGTTAACAAACTTCCTAAAGCGTAAATCTCACCAAAACCCCAAGGAGCTTATGTGGTCAGAGAATGTGTAGTTCCAAATCCCAACACTGGGTGTCCTTTTAAACTTGGGATATTGAGGGCATGTGCTTATCTCTGCTGTTGAAATATACCTACAATGAATATAAAAGAATCTTTAAATGATACAAAACCACCAAGACAGAAAGAAAAGAGTTGAGATTTTAGTGAAAAGTTTTGGTATTTGGAGACACAAGATTGCTAGCAACGTGGTAGGGTGCACAGGCTTAAAACAGAGAAATTGGTTATAAATTTCGGAAATGAGGTTTCTGGATCTCTACACTAGGTCACCTCCCCTCCCCTGAGCAGTTGGAAGATGTCACAGGATGAAAGCTGAATTGCTCGTGGAGTAAGCAGCTACTGCATGTTGGAACGAGAAGGAGATCTTCAGAAAGGACTTCTCCAGGAAAAAAAGAGTAGCCCTGATTTACCACTTGAGATTTCACTCTATGGAGTAGATTATTTAGACTTTTAAGAAATTTGTTGGAGAATTGAGACAAATTTGTGATAGGATCACAGAACTAAAAATTTTTTTAAAGTGGCAATGATCAACTCTAGGCCAAGATGCCAAATTGTACAGTTGGCCCTTTGTATCAACTGGGTCTGTGTCCTCATGGTCTGGTAAGCACATCTAAAACATACAGGAGAACATATTGCATCTGTACTAAACATGTACACACTTTTTTATGATTCCCCAAACAGTACTGCATGATTACTTCTGCAGTATTTATATGGTATTTAGAATTATAAATAACCAGGACATGCTTTAAAGTTTATAGGAGGAACCAGGCATTAGCCTAGCGTTAAGACGCCTGTTAGGCTGCCTGCATCCCTTATTAGTACCTGAGTACTAGTTGGTACTAACAAGAGTACCTGAGTTTAGTCCCTGTCTCCAGTTCCTGACTGCTGGTTTCTTGCCAGGACAGATACTTGCAGGCAACAATGATTGCCCAAGCTATTTGAGTTGCTACCACCCAAATAGGAGTACTAGCTGGAGTTTCCAACTTCTGGCTTTGACCTCAGCTCAGCCCCAGCTGTTGGGAGTACCTGCAGAGGGAACTACAAGATAGCATATGCTCTGTTTCTTTCTTTTTCTCTGTATCTCTGTCTCTCAAATTTTAGAAGTGAAAAGAAAATAAAGTATAATGGAAGATAGCTATAGATTATGTGCAAGTACTATGGCATTTTATTTTAAGGAATATGAGCATCTGTGGAGTTTGATATCCATGGGGGATCCTGGAACCAATCTCCCATTGAAATTGATAAGGTGACTGTAGAACAAGAAAATACTTATTTTACCTACTAGGCTTGGTGATGAATACTATTTCTGTAATAACAAGAAGGTAAACATCAAGTAGTTTTTAAAATGGTAATGTGATACGATTCTATGGAGGTCATGAAGAAAAGAACGGTGAGGCTGCTGGTTCAATGCATGGGTGCTAAACCCCCATCTCACAGAACAGGAAGTCAATAGTGAACATTTGCCATAGCAAGCAGTAGCAGCATAAGCATATTATCGTGGTTCTCAAAGCAGAGTTTGCTTTCTGTGGAGACAAAACTATATTCACCTAATACTAAGCTTATTTGCCTGTTCACCGTGTTGACATTTACAGTAATGGTGCAGAAGCCACAGTGGGCAAAACTGCTGGGGCTTTCACAACACGAATGAAAGCAGTGCCCTAGCTGGATGAGTGGCCATTGTGTTCTCGCTCAAGCAGCAACACAAAGAAAAAAATCCAGTTTCACTGGAAAATGTCCTGATGAGGCAGTAAAAACCATGACTTTGACTAAATCTCTACCTTGAGTCCATGTCTTTTTCAGTATTCTGGGTGGTGAAATGGGAGTGGCATAAAGCCTTGGTGCTGTGTTTGGGTGGGCACTTGTGTGATCATTGGAGTGGAAGGTTAAATGAGCTGCTAAATGGATGAAATAATGTTTTACTACAGAACAGTGACTGATAGAAAAATTACAGTTATTTGGATGTGACTATTCAATGTTTTCTTAAAAATGAAGAAAATAAGCTCATAATTTCAGGTAAAAATAACTAATATTTGTTTTCAATGAAAGAATTTGAATTGATAAGAAAAAAATGTTTAAATTTATCTCTCAGGGGGTTTGGGGCTTCCTAATTATGAAAGATTTTTTAGTAAATTTGGTGATATTAATAAAAGACATTATTTGCTATTACATAGTAAAATAGGTTGGCTTTGGAAGAACTGTATTGCTCATTTAAAAAAAAATTTATCTATGTATTTGACAGCAGAGTGACAGAGAAAGGGAGAAACAGAGAGAGGTCATTCATCTGCTGGTTCACATCATCTGCCGATGGCAACAGTAGGGCTGGGACTG